CGGCGTATGTATCGTTTAAAGTTGTTATGCAAACACTTGAGAAAGAGAGAATGCGATCACCACACATTCAAAAACACTACAACTACCAAAAAGTGAATAAAAAAAGTACCAAAAAGTGAGCTGAAACAATAAAAATCGCTTCTCGCACCAACGTAGCCTCAATGGTTAAAACCTAAATTACCGAACAGTAAATATCGATTATTTGGATTTATTTGCCATTTTTGTATTTTTCGCATGAAAATCGATCATCATTCGGCAAATCGCCAACAGAACCCATAAGCCATTAATTAGCCATTTGGAAATTAGAATTTGATGTTGATAAATGTACCATGGTTACTGCTATTAATCTGCTACTGTGTTATTACCGAGGGGCAAATCACTCTTAGGTATTACTTTTACATAAATGGTATTACTTGGTATTACTTTCCGTACAAATCAAAAGTAATACCAGGTGTATTACTTCTATTGATCAGTATTACTTGGTATTACTTGGATATTACTTTTTTTCGGTATTACTTTTTTCATAGAAATATCAAAAGTAATACCAGAGGTATTACTAGAAATAACTGAGGTATTACTTTTCTATTTGGTATTACTTTTGAGTGATTTCCCCCTTGGTTATTACTTTGATTCGATATTCTACCATTTTATTCATTTCACAACCTATACCAAGCGCAGGTAGTTTCCTCTCAAAGGAAATTTATCATAAAAATGGCTAGAAAACCCCGAAACTGGTGTAATGCAAGAAGTTGAGGCCGGAAACCGGATGAACAAGCACGCACTTGCGAAACACCATGGCACCGTGATATTGTTGCTGCCAAATGCGTCCTTATTAAAGGCAACAAAAAAGCTTGACTAATGCATATATTGATCGATTTGCATGTACAAACTGTTGATGTTTTTTTTTTATTTAAGTGTATTCTTTTTGGAAAAGGACATTGTGACTTGTTTGGGTTGCCGCTGCCAGGAATCTTACTACCATGAGAATAACACTCAGAGGATTTTTTCTACCTAAGTGCGAAGTTGTGCAATACAAAAGTGCCGAAAGGCGCCCCCGGGGCGCCGCTAATTTAGAAATGGAAAAAAATTCAATTTATTAGAGCTCTTTACTTTAGAAAATTGTCCGTTGCAAATTTTTTTGGCTCGCTCCGCTCGCAAGTTGACATGTATTTTTCAATCTATTTGAAAAATGCAAAAAGGCGATTTGATATCAGTTGTTTTGTACCCGAATTTTTTTTTCAACAAAACCAACTAAAGGTGCAGTCACACGCTATGGCAAACTGCCATATATATGGCAGTTTTTCTATGGTAGAAAATCTACCATATGCCATAGAAAAAAATATGGCACTCACACGATAGTGCAAAATATGGTAAAAATCGCAATGGCAATCTATGGCATACCTCATGACATAGCGAAATATGGCAAATAATCAATGGCAGCCTACTCAGACACAATGGCATTCCTTTCATATTTTTTTTCACTATGGTGGATTGAGTTTCGTACACCTTGCTCATGAAAATGCCCAGTCGATCGCCATGTCTCGTAGAGCAAAGTTGCGTGTAGCAATTGCTGCCTATTTGGTTATGAAAGAAGAAGAGGATGCTGAAGCTGAAAGAAGAAGTGAAATTGAAAACGCCTCATAGAACAAAATGGCACGTCGAATGTGGGTACGCGAATGGATAAATAAAAGAAGTGAAGTTGGGTTTTCAGCAACGCTTTATGAAGAATTAAAGGAGGGAGATCCAAAAATGTACAAAAACTTCGTTCGACTCAATGCTGAAGACTTTGATTATTTGTTGGAGAAGGTTTCACCAATAATTTGAAGGGAAGATACAGTCATGCGCAAAGCGATTACAGCTCAAGAGAGGTTGTGCTTGACACACCGATATTTGGCAACAAGTGACAGTTACAAGTCACTTATGTACTTGTTTCGTTTGCAAATATTATGCAATGGCGTTTCCAACAATGACGAAATTCAAATGACACTTAACAATCTCAACACATTTGGGCGATCATGTTTTACACAGGCGTGTGTGCATGTGCGAACATGCATTTGCTGAACGCTCGCACAGGCGAGCTCTATACAAAGCGCGAAAAACGATAGAAAGAAATAAAGAAAAGGAAAAATTTGCATGTATGCGCTGGGCGCTCTGTACAAAACGCGAAGAATGATAGAAAGATGTAAAGAAAAGTAGAAATTTGTATGTATGCGCTAAGCGTTCTATACAAGCGCGAAGGAACATAAATCCTGTATGAAAAATTACCGCTACGTCATCTGTATTCGCGCTCTACACACGCTCCATTTATACTTTCTTTTCTCTGTTCCACTCTGCGAACGGTCTTCAGTGTATACGTCGTGTGACTCATAGAATGAAATTTGCATGCATACGTAATTTTGGCTCATTATTTCTCAGCAACTATGGCCATAGTTCAAAAATATGTCCATATTGCCATATTTCTATGGCATACGTGTGAGTACCCCACTCACACATATGCCATAGCTCTGCCATATTTCTATGACAGCAACAAAAAAATATGATAACATATTTCTATGGCAGCATGCCATATGCCGATCACACGCTATGGCCATAGAAAACTGCCATATATATGGCAGTTTGCCATAGCGTGTGACTGCACCTTAACACCTTACAAACACAAAGTGGTGTGTATTGAGCCAAAGAAAATGAAACATGAAATTTTGTAGTTAAAAACCAGCATTGTCGCCTTTTTGAATAAAGCAAAATCATCGCGTAGGTACGAAAGCAGACTTATGAGCGTGTGGAATCGAGTTCGAGTCGCACACCGGGGGAAAAAAATTAATTTTTTTTTCGTTAAATAAAATTTGGTTTTTGAACAGACAGATGAAATTACATTTTGTTTTGATGAAATTACATATCGCTTTTATACTAAGAAACTATCACATGTTTAGTTTTTTCAAGATCATGAATGTGATCGGTAATTAGTTGAAAAATTAACGTTTGAATCGAAAAGGTTATGGTCCATAGATGTTACGATTTCATATGTTACACTGGTAATTTTTCGATTCAAACGTTAATTTTTCAACTAATTACCGATCGTTAATGTTTACTGCGGTCCAAAACAGAATATTTAACACGAGTTAGTAGAGTTTTTCATCACCCAGAGTTGCCCGGAGCCATTTGTTACTTTTTAGTACATTTTAGTACACTTTTAGTACTTTTTAGTACTTGGCCTGCAAAGCTCTTGAGGAGTACTAAAAAGTTCTTTCAGACACTGTAGGACTTCGAAGATGCACGAAAATACCGTTTAATAGCGAAAAGTGATTTTGATAGCGAAAAGTGATTTTGAGCCCATAAAGTGGACTGGATGGAGTTTTTTCGAGTTAATGTGTTCAGGAGTGTTGCTCAGCTTTACTCTGGCTACAATGTTGCCGAATCCAGTAAGTGAAAAAAATGTATACTGTTCGAGCTTTAGTCGAAAAACTGGAAAAATTGACTATTTTCTCGACATTTTGCTCCCACCAGATGTAATTTTTGAGTATAGATTATAACTAGTTCCACCTAAAATTGAACGTCACACATTTTCTTAGCACATACCAAGGCTATAAAACCATCACAAATGGGAGAAAAATGGTATTTGTTCAATACCTCTTTGCATGTAATACTGGTGAAAAGGTAAAACGCCGAATTTGATATTTAAAAAAGTTGAGCCAATTTTAATATTCTGAGAACGCAGTTGTTCTTAGATTTTGGCCCTCTAAAACGCCTAGTATGTCGCTATCAATTGCCAGACACAAAAAACATCGGTAGAACTGTGTGATGAATTGTTTTGATTTTGATTTTTTCATGAAAAGTACTTTTTTGTGTTTTTAGTTGATTGCGTGGTATGAAAAGACTTGGTGAAGAGCTGGTATCTGGAAGAATTTTATTCATCTGAACGCAAAAACAATTTGGTTATGATTTCGCCCTTATTCACGGCAACAAAAATGGGTTTTAGTTGATTTTTGTCGATTTTTTATGTTTTTTCCAACTTCTAATGGCTATATCTCGAAAAACAGAGTTTTGCCAGATATAAGCTATATGTCAAATTTTAGCTCTAATTTGGGGCTATATTTGAGGCAATTTTGAAAAAAATCTTCGGCGCCGTTTTCGAGAAAATGGTCGATTTGTGCAATTTTTTTGGTCTTCTGCCCATAAGACCATGCTAACTTGATTTTTTAAGCTCAAATAGGTGCCATTTTATAGCTGGTCTTGAGATCTTTCCAACGATACCTTAAAGTCTGAAATCGGTTGACAGGGTTAGGCACAGTAGCCATTGGAAGGAAGGCCATTTTTTGAATTTTCAAAGGCCGACCAAGGCCAAGATGGCGGCCAGATCAAAAAGTGGCGGAACAAAAAATCTTAGTTTTTGATATAGTTCAATGCCTCAAAGTTTGAAAAAGATCGGACAAAAAGTACGGACAGACGGACGGACGGACAGAAAAAATATTATCTCAGAATAATTGGTGGAGACGGCAAAGAAAATTTTCAAATGGCAATAACTCATGAACGGATGGTCCAATTTCGACGTTCTTGGTCAAACGTTCTTGAGATGACTGAGCCGCGTCCACCCCCCGGTAAATGGGAAAAACTGAGAATTGCTCCAAATTTTTAAGTGGCCATATCTATGGAGACGGTTGGTCGATTCCCAAGTTTGAATGTATTTTCTGGGCCTATGAGCCAAGGGCTTTCTGACGATACTTCATTCATACCAGATGGCTTCTTAGAAAAAAAGTTCGAAATTACGTGTATATATAGGCGAGTTCGACTTTCAGCACAGAGGTGCTTTCGTCACTCGCGCCTGCTGTCGCCGGCTGTGATTTCAATCACATTAAAAATTATAAAAAATTAAAATATCAACTGTTATTGCTATAGCCGCTTTGATTTAGTAGTTCGCGGAGTACACAACCGCTGGGAACTGTTTTTCGTAAGAGACCGATTGTATGGAAACAAAACTAAGCAAAATTATAACTATAAACGCATTTTTTGCAATCAATCGATAAATGAAGTTTATTTCAAACGTTCATAGTAATGAAAAATATTTTTTCATGCATTAATAATAGTTTTTGTTTAAAAAGATGTTTATTTTCGATTTAGTCTGTTTCGGAAAACATTTGAGGTAGATTTTGACTATCGAAATGCGAAAATATTTGAAAACAAAGTCTATTTTTGCAAATTTCTCAATGATATTTCACTCAGAGCCTTTCATTGATCTAATCGATTCGAATGGACCGATAAAGTGAAAAGAATGTGAAAATAGGATTTTACAGCTTAATCAAATCTACTGATCATTTTGAATGTGATTTAAAACTAACGGTAAAATTCAATGGGCCTTACATTAAACTACATACAAAGGAAATATGTCAGAGTAAAATTGGTCGACGAATTTCTCGATTCAAATTTAATGAAAAAGCAACTGGCAATCACTTATAAAAATCAAAATGTGATAAAATCTTGTTTGTTGTAGGCATCTTTATTCTGGTCACAGCAAGTTTATCTATGGTTCATTCCTTTTGAGGTCGGTCATAATTTTGAGCAATTGCGCTCGCCGGGCAGGCTGGGGAATAAGGATAACTTTCTTTTTCTGTTCGCTTGAGCCAAACAATCCAAGCACTTTTTTCGTTTTTTCACCAATCAATACTTCAACGCCTCTGTCAACCGATCGAAGCATGTAGATTTCACTCCATCGATATGACCAGTCAATCTGCAAAATAAATAAACATATTCAACAATCATTTGACGGTTTTGCATTTTACATATGGGGGGTTTAGAGCGAAAATGTAATACAGAAAAGTTGAGCGGAAAAATGTCGATGATGAATGAGCGGAGAAGGGATAGCTATATACTGTATAGTAAACTATAATAAACTATATAGCTATCTCTTTTCATTTGAAATTTTTCCTCTCAACTTTTCTGTATAACATTTTCGTCCTAAACCCTTCATATAATCAAATGGAATGGAAAAATTCTTACCTGCCATCCCCCAAACAAATCATTCTTTCCACAGTATATCAAACGGTGATCAGATAAGAGTAACACCTCACGCTTCTCAATTATGACCTTGGTAATTGATAATAAAACATTTTTTTTCATGAATATAACAAAAATATCGTCATTGTTAACAAAGATGTAGTCTATTTCGGAGAACATCGAACTATCGAAATAGGTAATTTTTGAATACCAACCTCGTAATGAGCAAAAATATCGCTACTTGCATATTTGCCCTTTTCAATTTCTCTGAAAATAGAAAAATCGTTACTTTAGTTATTTTCGGTAATTTTATATCTCTATTATTTCATCATGAAATAGCATATATGTCTCACTTTAACAGTTTGTTTCCCTCGGCTTCTCGCAAACAGAATGGTCGTAAGACGCCATCTGAATGTAATGAACGTGGTGGCCTTAAACGGTTAACTTCTTCTGATAATTCAGTGGCTCGCTGCAGTGCATCAAAACTACCACTAGCAAAGTCAACAAGACCAGCTGTTGGACGAGCAATCAAGCCGACCGCACCTTTGCCCAAACCCTTGAAGAATCCTTCAACACCATCGCTACGAGCACCACTTATTGGCTGACTGATGACTCCGGTAACGCCGTCAACAACACCCTACGCCATGGAGAAATTTGTTCATAATGAGCCAATTCCGAATACAGAATATGTTATTGAAATTCTTACCATAACAAGTCCTTGGCCGCTACGTGCCAATCCTTCGTGCAAATTAGCTGGCTTCTTATTCAAATTTTCTCGTCGTTTCCTCTGATAATCTTTATCAAATGTAAGCGCTGCCAATCCTTTGCCCATCGCTCCAGTGATCTTACCTAGGGCACCAGCAGCACCGCCAACCGTATGCCCGAATAATGATTTCACACCGAGAACCAAACCCTCGGCAAACTCACTAGGACCTTGAATTGCTCCCTGAAACCGAATTTCGAATATAATTTTCCACATCGATTGCATAACGCTGATATTCTGACAACTTACCTGGAATGGTTCATAGAACAAATCTTCTACTCCTTTTGTGAAGCCGACGACTAAACCGTATGGATTGCCGATGACATCTAAACCTAATATGAGTACATATGCTTGTTTCAGAGCTTGACTGGTATAATGCGAAACGATTTCGTTAGTGAGTTGTCGCTGCGTATAGAAATTATATTGACGTTCAAAGAACGTCAAACGGAAAACAATATCATTTATATCGGTCAGAGTGACACCGACTCCCTGTAGAATGGTTGACAAAACTGGTGGCAATGCGCCCGGTTCCAAGCCTGCCATCGAAAATGAAATGTGGATTTTTAATGGCCCCAAATGCAATTGGTCATAGAAGTTCTTTTGGTCCTGAGATGATTGCGTAAGCACAAGTGCTGATAACGGTTCGCTATGCTGCTGAATATCTGTGTTGAACAGTTTTCGCTAGAAAAATTGCAAACATAAATATATTTAGTGTGCCAATTCATAATAATGAGCATTTATAATGATGTTTGATTGGCATTAGAGACTTCGTTGCGTTTGCCATACCTTTTCTTCATCGGTTAATTCGACCGTGAATATTTCCACGATTTCATTGATGAACAACAAATCGACCTTTACATGGAATTCTTGTGTTAAAACTTTGAGGTATTTGAACTGTTTCACATTTGAATGAGGAATGATACGTTGTACAATACTGCATTCAACAAACGGTTTGAGCTCTGTCAAAGAAATGGTGCAAGCACAAATAAAAGTCAGATCGTAATCTTATTTGGCTATTATTATAAATAATCTGAAACACACATACCAATTGAAGCGGCAACACTTTTCGGTGGAGCGACCGGTGCCAATACAACTGGAAAGATGCAGTCACTCAGTTGATTATCGATTTGAATGCGATTGATTTTGACATGTAGTTGCAATTGATATGGTGACGATTTCATCTGAATCCATAGGCCAGGATAAAATGTTCGACGAATTTCACGTGGACGAGATTTTTTCAACATCATATTATCGAAGTCGATTGGAATTTTTCCGCCGCCATCGAAGTGAAGGTGGTGTTCCTGGATGCCAGTCTGTCTGTTGCGCAAGTACTGTTGATATCGTTCTTCAAGAATTTGTACTTCTTGAATTTTCATCTGTTTAAAGTACCGCGACTTCTTTTTCTCTTCCCAAATCACACCAGAACTTGCAATTCCAATGTACATTATATCGCATAGTTTGTGATTGTTGACCAATGATAAGCCAATACCATGGACATCAACTTCGATCTCTTGTGTGACCTATTCACAAATGGTATGCATTAGTTAGAATGGTATAGTATTGAATAATTAGTAATAACAAGTGCCGGAAATTATAAATAATTTTAAACAAAACAAAAATTTAGAAAATTCCAATCAGCAAATAAAGAAGAAATGTTGGAGAGTGCATTCAAGTACGTGAAATAAATAAAAATTAAAAATAATTGTGCTCGAAAAAAAGATAAAAGAAGACCTTGTCTCGTTTTCTTATATGGGGTCCCATCTAAGAACAAAAAATCAAGCTCTTACTGTCACTAAACTTTACTGTTGAATAGAATTGATTTCATATTAATAATTTGTGAATTTTGTAGCACAAAAATCCGAAGGGATTATCATCTAATGCCAGAATCTATTAATATACGCATTGGGAAAAATAAAGTTTCACAAGTTATGCATCAATTGTATATATTTATGATATCGTGAATGGTTACGCAAACTGTCCTACTGTACGCAACGACATTGCAGTAGCTGAGAGCGTACGGACCTTGCGCCACACAAATTACCTAAAGATCAAGGACAATCTGATGGACAAACAAATCAGAGCTCAAGTGCCAATTGTGCATTAAGGTGTCAACGAACATGAACTGTTAGAGAAAAAGTCAAATTTTGTTTGTTCGTTCGTTCGTAGCAATTCAAGAATTTACGAACGTTCGTTCGTTCGAAAAATTTCGAAACCCAGTTAGAAGTTCGAACGTTCGGAAAATAAACGAACGAGCGAACAACTTTTCACTGTTCGAACTTTTTACTTGAGTTTCGGACGTTCAATTTTTTTTTCAAATATAGCCAAATTGTGTGAGAGGCCATATCTAGTTCAATCTCCAGTTGAGACCCTTATCAATTGACGGCCTGAGAAGAAGAACATATCCTACAAAACCTGTGCGCAGAACACAAACGCAGAAATTTTTTAATCAAAAGGCGAACAGCAGATTTGCGACCGCAAAAACCTAATATATTCACTGCGAGCGCAAAAGTATAACAAGCCTACTAGCATGCAAACTCCGTATAAGTAGGGCTGTTATGCTTTTGCGCTCGCTGTAAATATATTAGGTTTTTGCGCTCGCAAATTTGCTGTTCGCCTTTTGACTAAAAAAATTCTGTGTCTTGTTCTGCGCACAGGTTTTGTAGGATATGTTCTTCTTCTCAGGCCGTCAATTATAAAGTGTGATGCTTGTAAGAGACTTTTTTTTGCTGAAAATCTCAATCGATCAATATGAAATCCTTTCTCTTTTACAGTGTGAACACACGGAAAATACTATTATGTACTACAAGTACATGTTCTAAATGGGAATTCTCCTAAGCATAAATGTACCTTGTCTAAGCGATTGGCACTATTTGCACCGAAGGCAATATCTTGAACATTTGTGAATAGTAACACACGTTGAGTTCCATCCAAGAAAGAAACCCAATATGACGATGTGTCACCGACGCTGCTTTTGATCGGCTTTATACCGTCTCGACGCAGATCATTTTCAATCGAATCATCTCCGTCATCCCAAAGAATCAACCGGTCACCAGCCGGGTCCTGCCATGTATACAACATTTTTTCAAATGGCTCAAGCCGACGCTCATTCACATTTCCTTTTTCCCAGAATTTCACCAATCTATCGGTGTGATTAATAATCAATGCTGGCGCATCACCTGGATGATATGCGGTGAACGCGATAAAAACGCCACCCTCCGAAGCTTGAACATCTACATTTATGCCACCATACTGAAATTAAATCAATCGAAATAAGAAAATTTGAACACGAACCTTTTCGAATTACTCTGAAGGAAGTGAATTCGGAACAATTTTTTTCCTTCCAATGTTCTAACAATCAATGAATATGATCCTACCTTATTTTTGAGCTTAAGGAGTGTACATTGAGGCTCATCAAACTTAAATGGTCTTGACACTGTTTCATCATCTCCTGCTCGTACATGCAAAGTCCTGCAATCCGATTTTGGCCACAGTGGAACACTTTGGTTAGTTTGAATAACAGTCCAAGTATCGCCTGGTCGCTTGTTTTCCTGCACTTGAATTGTAAATGGAGCATTATTCGTAAGCACGTAGAATGGCATGAACGTAATCTGTTTGGTGAGCGAATTGTGAGTCAACGCATTGTGTACAGCAATCTGAATAATACCAAAAATAAGAAGCACAATTAGTGTTGAAATAATGTATATGAATTTTTAAAATTTTAAAATTTCTAAATTACTTCATATTTCACTCCATCGGCTTTACATTCAACTAAACCAGTTGAACCAGCGGCGTCTAAGGCGAATTTTTCACTCCATTCACCATTCTCGACGCGAACAGCAGCTCGTTTCTTGCCAAAGAATACTTTTTCGCGATACGAAAAAAGTATTGGACCTTCCAAATCTGGTGGATGATACAATACATTTACGCTCTCGTCCGTTGACTGAAAAAAACAGAAATTCATTTCATCAAGATTGTTTACATCTGGTATGAACGTGACACCAAGTTAATATATCAAAGAAAGCAACAATAGAAAATGGGTTAGACCCAAAACGAAAATCAACCCGGCATAAGTGGTTGGAACAGTTAACCAAATCGAACTGAAAATACGAAATTTACGATTTAAAAAACGTGATGAAATGACATCGACGAACCTGTACGTTGCCCGAAGATTCATGTTTTTCGGTTTTTCTTGATTTCTATATAAATAAGTTTTGGTTTGAACGATAAAGACACACACACGCACACATTTTCCAAGCAATACATTGGGTTTTTGAACAAAGAGAATAGACATTTTGGAAAGTTCAAATGTTAATTATTTTCTCAAATTTTCGGAAGTATATTAGTTGTTCTAGCAACGTTTTTCCTATTTAAATTCAAATTTTTATGAAATAACTCACCCGATAACTAAGCATAAGATCGGTTTTATTTATCATCCAGAATGGACAGTACACTGTCATTTGTAGGCTACCCAAACGATTTTCGAACCTTAGGGCAAAAAGAAGTAGAATCGTCAAAGAACATTCAACTGTTTATTCTTCGTCATAACTTACATGACACCAAGCTCGATTGACATGATTTCATCTGAATCATAGGATTTAAAAGACCAAACTGCGAATTCGGGTGGATGTGCTGGCACTTCAGTTGTGCACGACCAATCCTTTTCTAAATATTGGACCAACTATTATAAAAATATATTTATTTTTCTTTTATTCATGCTTCGGATTTGTTTATTTTTTATTTTCGGGAGAAGGACCAAGTCACTTACTCTGGCCACAATTAAACTTCTTCGTTCGCCTTCCTTGGCCGTCGTCTTAACCGTTGGCAAATGTAAAAGATCGCCCGGTTTCACAATTTTTTCGCCACAGTCAAGGAAATCGGATTTGGTTAAGCTTGCATTAAGTGGTCCCTTATAGTCGACAACATGATGGTTATTTTCGGTTGATTCTTTGACATTATTTTCGGTTTGAGATACAGTGCAACCAGCCACTGAAATCTGAATATCAATTGGCAATGCATTTCGCAAATAAAGCGGTGGTTTCAAGTTAATCACATAGCATGCACTCAACATGGTGTATTTTGATGTAACCTCATGGTACACTTCTTCACGTTCCCGAATCGCAGTTATATAGAATGGTTCGAACGTATGAATGGGGTCACATTGCAAGTATTTCATATACTTGAAATCGCTTGGATTCTCTTTCCAGTTGAAACCTTGAATCGATGTTTTGTAGTTGGCGATTGAGAAGAACAATTCTTTGTGAGCAGCATACAATGTATGCAGCGGAACATTGAACACTGCTCCAGGCTCAACTTGGCCAACTTCAATCAATTGTCCGCTTCGCTTGCGGAAAATTTTCGCCGATGTCGAGAAGTGGTTTTTAACCTGCAAAAAAAGAAATAATAATTTTAGGTGTTTATTTTTATTTGTAATTAGTTTTTGAATTAGTCGCATCACCTTCAGCACACCATGAATGGTAATGACCGTGCTTCCATATTCTGTGTGGACATGTGAAATGATACCCCATGGTTCTTGGTGTGTGTCACGATATAGTGGGAAGTATCGTCGATCGGCTTTGTGAACAGGTAATGTGATTTCCTTGTCGATTTCACCGATCTGTACGTGCAAAAGTGTTTCTTGCAATTTGCCCTCTTCCTTTGTGAGAAACGCAGTGATTTTTGCCAATGAGTGTTCGTGTTTTGGTTGCAAATAGGCCCGACCACCGGGCGAAATTTTGCATGTAGTGATTTCGTTGGGATCGAGCTCTGCCGATGTTGTGTTGAATACGACCAATGAGTGATTCGATGAACCATCGGGATTTGGTAGATGTGATGAATGTAAATTCAATGATCCTTTCTTCAGGTTCATTATGATATCGAAACCCGTGTCATTTTCGACAATGTACGGTGCAACAATATCGGGCTTATTCAAACCTTGCGGTTTAATGGCATCCGAAAAAGCTTGTCCTAAATCTTGAAGCACGTCTAGGCTAGTTTTTGTAACTGACATTTCGAGAGTATCACATGACGAAATCTGAATCTTAGTTTTTGGTTCACTTTCGGTGAGTGAATTTTCAACCGGTTTCTCAATTTTCAAGTTGAAATTCAGCTCCCACGGCTGGTATTCGGTTAAGCCATTCGATTTCTCGCGCTCATTTGGCTCAATTAAGGGTTCCCAAACAGCCAGCGTGCTGTTGTAAATTGCCATTCCCAATGAAAGAGAACTTTCAATCGAAATCTAAATAAAAAGATTGTTGAACATGTTGAAATATAATGTCATGAATTGATCTTTCAAATAAAGCCAAATTTGGGCCAAAATTTAAATATTTCTATGTTTTATTTAAAAAAAGAAGTTATGACGCACCAAAAAAAAACACCCTTTATTACATGTAATAGTAAAAGTAATAGTAATAGGATATCATATTACATTTCTATTAGTGAGACGTAAAAGAACGCAAGTTGGTCCAACTTCGTAGCAATAAACAGAAGTATGTTTCATTGCAACTAATAATGGTTAAAAGAATGTATGTTCGTTTTTAGTGGGTCCTCGCAGTTTTTCACAGTTTCCGCGGAACTGATAAGAGATAACAACTTGATGTCTTCAGCAAAGTTGTAGCACTCGAGGTCTTCTATAACATTGCTGAAGTCAAATATCTATTATTTCCTATCATAAACGTGAAAAACCGCGGAGGCTAGACGGGATGCCAACATACTTCCTTTTAACGCAGATAGAATCAACAGAAAACATACTTTCCTTTTCAAAAATATAAATCGACAAAAAAACATACATTCTTTTACGTCTCACGAATAGATTTGTAATATGACCTGCAATAGGATGAATGTAATAGCCATTATAATGGGCTGTAATAAGTAATAGATTACACATTACATTACTTCTATATGTTGAAATACTCCAAACTTACATCGGAACTCCAGTCTCGAATTTCAGCATTCATCTTTGTTTCAATGACCAGCATCGGATAGGTGTAATAGCCAAAACCTGTTTCAATAACAATAACAATGGAAGGCACTTCGACGATACATACTTCCGGTTTGCGCTCAGCAAACGATTGGAAATATTCAGTGGCGAGAGTGTCTTGGGCTTCTTCAACTTTCATAAACCAAAAATCTTCTTCTTTGTACTTTTCTATTTCCCACAGATTTGTGTAGTCGGGTAGTTCTTCAGCAATGCTTTCATTTTGGATTTCGGTCGTTGTAACCGTTGACATCGCTTTGCTAATAATTTCAATTATCGCTACAAATGAACGGAAGAACGAACAAAAAAACATTGAACACATCCTTGTGAAAGTATTGGCGTAAATTTCGTCTCTAGATACCTGGTGAAACATTAATTCGAATATCACTAGTAGATAAACTAAGATTCATGCCATTCGCTTCAGGTGTATTTCCATGCAGGCTAATCGTACACGGTTGAATGATAAAGTGCTTGGTTGCATTTCGTCTGGCTGGACTGAATTCACACAGATAAAACTTCAAATCGGCAATTTCTCCTTCGATCACTTGTTTTTCGCCTTGCATTCGAACTCGTAGTGCCATTTGCGTCTAACAAAACCAGATTAAGTACACCATAAATTCAACCATGCGCAAACATGCGTTTTCCGATGGCTGAGATACTGCATTATACAGTATGCGTCGTCGAAATGCTCGGATATATCTGCAGCATACGAAATGCTGAGATGCTCAGCCATCGGAAAACCCATGTTTGATCATGCGACACTTCCACCGCATCGAAATTCACAATAAAAACTTACATTCAATATCAATGCCAGGCAATTAATATCATCCATTGCTTCGACGAGAATAATATCAGGCTGCTCAATGTTGATCAAAACAGTTATCTTTTTATTCGGATCAGTTTCAGTAGCCGGTACTAATTCAGTCGCTAAAATTCACAAACAAACACACCATAAAAGTGCTGTGAAACATTATGTTTGAGATGTACAGTGCTCTCGCAGGATCTTAGGTAGTCTTTTTTTGCAGAAAAACTCAAGTTTTCTGGACAATTAAGATTTCTGAACGCGATTTTGTATGAAATTGAGGATTTTCTTTTTTCAAAAATTGCTTCAGTTTTCTGGAAGATTAAGATTTCTGAGAGAGCGCTGTATATCTAGTTGAACGACTTACGTTTAGCCGCTGCATTGGTGATTGAGGTAGTGGTCGGTGCAGTAGTCAACGGTCTTGCATCTTGGGGAACGGTCACAAATTGTCCGATTTTCAACAAGAATTCCAAAGATAAAATCAAATCGAAACTTGATACTTTGAGATTGGCGAATGTGTCGCCTTGTTTCATTCGCACTACGATATCGACCATTGAATTCGTAGATTGTGGTGCAAGCGATGCATTTGAACTGCTACTGCTACTGCTATTCAATGGTGCCACGACCTCTTTTTTCTTCATAAATCTGCGCAAGACAAAGTAAACTTATTAATAAATATATTTGTGGATAGAACTAAATCATCTATTCCAAAACTAACTTTGTGATAAATTTTTGGCGATCAGGTCGAATATCATCAAGTTGTACATCGCACAGGACAATCGATGCGCTCATAGACTCATCAACGAGCTTGCATCCTTTGAGCGATAGGAAATGGATACCAAACGAGGCAAGTCCTTGTCCAGGAGCTGGAAAAATGATAAATGGTCAAACATTCCCTTTGTTAACGAACCAAATGTTTGGTTTTGTTTACCGGTGAACAAATTCAAAACGATGGAATCCATTTGGAAAGTGAACTCTAAAAATGTATCGATTTTCTTTTTTGTAACCGATTTGTTATCATTCGCCGAGGCCTGTTGTTCGAGACTGCTCGCCTTTGGCTTGATTGATTTTGTACTCTTCGTTGTGACACGTTTGGATGATCGTGAATCTAATTGAATACAGAAAGAGCAAAATAAATGTCTCACGATGTTCAAAATTTTCAAATGAGCCAAACCGAAGCGAAATTTAAAGTCAAAAAAGGGAAAAAGATAGTACAAACCATCTAAAGGAATTTCTATTTCAAATATTTAACTTATCAATAAAGGTTCCTCATTTACACTATTTTTTTTCAAATGCCTATGGTCCTTTGATGGGTCATCTCTACAAGCCCCCAGAATTTTAGAAGTTATAGTCTCAGCCATTTTGTATTTATGGTATCGTAAAATTGAGGTCTACCCGGAGATCATAACTTCTAAGGTTGAATTCAAATGCTCACCCTATGAAATTATATGACCGATAACATTTTGAAACGTATTTATTTTGTATTTCGCTGCGGTGTTCGGTCACGTCAAATTGATCCAAATAAAACAATATGTGTAAAAATAGTGGAAATATCGATGGAATTGAATGAACAATGACGATGTGGACCAAAATTCCAATCGAATGGGCCCAAAATATCAGGCCCCAAAAGAAGTTTTACATCGGAATATTTCAATTTTTTGTATTTTTTGCAATATTTTCGAAGTCTTATAACTTCTCAAGTCTTCGAAATAGGGCAATTGGATTATTGGATTATTGGATGAATGCGGGGAGTCAAAGACTCGTCGCTCAAGCTGTATTCAGTCTATTGCGACACGCCCACTAATAACATCTTTGAAATCAATCCGATCCGTTCACGATCCGACAGCAAAAACCAAAAATACATTGATTCTTATGGACACTGAATGTACAGAATGTGAAAAGAGCGAAACTTGTGAAAATATTCATGAACTAACATGTAATCACAAAGTTTCTATCTTAATTGCATTGAAGAACACAACAACAACGCCTAAATGTAGTCAAAATTGCAAGTTTCAATCATTTAAACATGAATAAACATGTAAAGCACGTACACATTTCTGTGACGTTAAAATTCTCATGCTATCGGATCGCAAGATCTCAAGGGTGCTCGCTTTGTATGTCTCCAATGTAATTTTTCGTTGACGTTTGCAACAAGATGCCACCTCAAAAAAGTCGCAGCTCTATGGAACTAGCGACGATAAACGAATGACTCAAATACGCTCACAACAATGAACTTCACAGAGCGGCGAAAAATGCAAAGATGGCGAATGGGTAGAATTTTGAAAGAAAAATCGTCGATTCGAGCACCCATCGATTCAAATCACTACAAGTCGAATCAAAGATGTCATGAAAAAAAAGAAAAAAAAACATCTTTAACTCGTCAACTTGTTCCCAATCCCAGTCATAGTAAAATAATTTTTTTAGCTATATTGTTATTCAGTGACTTTTTTTTGCTCCGCCAGTGCCCTGGTGCGAAAATTTCTTAGCACCCTTAACTTTCTCAAAATTTAACTTTCAAATGCGTGATTTAAGCATTTTTCATGCAAATCCATGTTGAAATAAGACAAAAGTTGTGAAAAATGGTCCAAAAATTCTAAATCAGTAATAAAAAGCAAGTACTTTTGACCATTTTTGGGTTCAAATAGGCAAGAATATCAGTTTACGAACACCTTCAGTATTTAACTTTCACATTATGGTGAATTGTTTCGGAAAAAATCGTTTTTCGACAGTCTACTTATCCAAAACTTCTAGGCGGCCTAAAATCAAGCACCAAAAGCCATGTCTGTGGTTTGTTTATGGGGATTGCAGGTCAGCACAAGATCTAGATATGATGAGCTTGGAATGAACATGAGACTTTCGTCGCTCAATACACAGATACAAAACAAAAATAAAGCAATCCATTAAAATGGAACATGGAAAAGAAATCCGTAAGAATGAAACATAGCATGTGCCGTTTTAAGTATTTCGCTTTGCGGTGTTCCGTTTTGATAGATTTTTTGTCCGCAGTGTCGTTATGAACGAACCCTCTCGCATTGTTTCATATGAATGGATCTGTATCACATTGTTTCGTTACTCGAATATTTTTTCGTGTGTTTCATTTCAATTGATTCCCGAGCTATTGATGACGTCACTCGCATTTATCACATGATGCAAATTAAGTGATAAGGAGCCCGAATTTCGATGTGGCGATAACACCAATGGATTGGGCAAAAAAATACTATCTAGATCTTGTGCTGACCTGCAATCCCCATAAACAAACCACAGACATGGCTTTTGGTGCTTGATTTTAGGCCGCCTAGAAGTTTTGGATAAGTAGACTGTCGAAAAACGATATTTCCCGAAACAATTCACCATAATGTGAAAGTTAAATACTGAGGGTGTTCGTAAACTGATATTCTTGTCTATTTGAACCCAAAAATGGTCAAAAGTACTTGCTTTTTATTACTGATTTAGAATTTTTGGACCATTTTTCATAACTTTTGTCTTATTTTCAACATGAATTTGCATGAAAAATGCTTAAATCACGCATTTGAAAGTTAAATTTTGAGAATGTACGAAAAATGATATTTTTGCATATTTGGACTCAAAATACGTACAAAGTGGTTGGTTTTTTTTGCTGATTCAGAATTTTTTGGTCATTTCCAACAATTCTTGATTTATTTGCAACATGGTTTTGTGGGAAAATTTCTTAAATCACGCATTTGAAAGTTAAATTTTTGAGATTCAACAAAATTCGGGAAAATCATGATTTCAAGGCCCCATGCCGCTTATAGGGTGTACTCAGAAGGTCAGTTTTTCTTGTTTCCGGCCAAATTTTATGTTTTGATTTATTAGATTTCATTTTTTGGCCGTTTTCACAAAGTTGAAATTTTAAATTTTAAATGCAGACCACTTGGAACGGGCATAAATAATTATATAATTGAATTAAATAATATATGTATTACTTATATTTTATAATTTTAAAAAATAGAAATGAAATGTAAATGATACAAGCATCTTTTCAATCAAAAAAATGGAGAGTAGCTGAGAATAACAAATTAGAACAGTATAAACAACGGACTTTTTTAAACAGTTTTTTGAATTTGACATGAAATTTGACATGACGTATATGAATACGGCGCATTAACGCCGCAAATGTATAATCCCAAATGGGAACTGTCAAAAGTTGTCACCCTGTTGGGATTACTATACTAAATTATATCACAGCAGCGACCAAGAATTGAATCGGTATGATTAATCTTGACCTGCCAAATTGAGTGAAAATAAATGTGAAACATAGAGTTTTTTTATATGGACTTTACAACAACAACTCCATATAAAAAACTCAATGTTTCACATTTATTTTCACTCAATTTGGCAGGTCAAGATTATTCTTACCGATTCAATTTTTTCGCAAAATGACGGACACCACTTTTGGATCGTTATGCAAACTCAAATGACTACCTGGCTACTCAGTCAATTGTTCATCCAGGTAACCTCATTTTTTGTCAAACACGTGTTTTAAGATTGCTGAGCATCTCAGCATTTCGTAAGGCACGGATATATCCGAGCATATCGACGACGCATACAGTGGCGTGCATTGCTACGCACAGCCGCAACGACTCGACCGAAATATGTTTGTTGTTGCTGCGTGCAGCCACATCAACTGAACACACCTCGGTCGAGTCGTTGCGGCTGCACGTAGCAACACACGCCACTGTATTAAACAGTATGCGTCGTCGATATGCTCGGATATATCCGTGCCTTACGAAATGCTGAGATGCTCAGCAATCTTAAAACACATGTTTGTTTTTTGTATATGTTCTCTACGAGAACACGTTGATACTACCCACACTAATTACGGAATTACGAATTTTCATGTTACCATAAAACCCGAGCATGATCTCTACCTGGACGGGACCACCAGAGACAAAGAAGCATATTGCTCTTGTATCTCTCTGTGATTGGGATACTGCTGATTAAAACCAACACGAAAGAGTCATGATCCGAATTTCCGTCATCCGAACGCATTCAACTCATTTTCACGCGGCGCACATGGCAAAAATTATCACTAAATGACTGACGAATTGTCCCCCTACATTCTCCTATATGTATTGAGATAATGATACCTATCTGTGATGTTTACTCTATTCATTGTTAATTTTGATATTGATCTTTGTCATAGCCATCCATTGGGTTGGCGAGCTATTATTTCAGTTTTAGAATCAATTTTGAATTATTTTCATATAAGCATCAAATGCTCCTTATACGCTTCAAATCATGGCCAATTATTAACTCAAAGCACTTTACAGCCAACATGGAACTGCCTAAACCGACGTAAAACTTCTCGTCAATTTATCCACCGGTATAAATTGAGTGACGACTTTGGCCGTCCTAGAGTCTCCAATTAAAGTGTAAAACTAAACGCTTCACATAGGAAACGTTTACCAAAGGTTATTTTGGACCGTTTGCTATCTGACTACTATCAAGCATTTCCATCTCGGTTGTATGACTATGTTTTTGTTTTCATGTGCCTACTTTTGTGAATACTGCTAGAGGTGTCAACGGACACGGACAAAAATTCGGACATTGGTGTCCGTCCGTCTGAAAACTGAAATATTTTTTCGGACGTCCGAAAACCGAAAATAATTTTCGGACGTCCGGTCCGAAGGGTCCGGTCCGTCATGGTCCGAATGTCCGAATTTTTTTTTCGGACAAGGGGTTTTGTCCGAACTTTTTGAAATTTCTCGGACGTCCGAATTTTTTTTAAAAAAATCAAAAGAAAATTGGATAAGAATACGCAGCGTATTCTTCTTCAGCGACATTTTTACATTTTTTGGCTGGAAAAGCCTCGGAAAAGCGCAACTGTGGGAAATCGGGAAATCGGGGAAAGTACAAACCAGAGAACTTTTTTCCTAGAGTTTTCCAACCAAAAAATGCAAAAATTTCGCCGAAGAAGAATAAGCTGCGTATTCTTATCCAATTTTCTTTTGATTTTTTCGGACGTCCGAGAAATTTCAAAAAGTTCGGACAAAACCCCTTGTCCGTGGTGTTATCAAAAAAAATTCGGACGTCCGAAAATTATTTTCGGTTTTCGGACATTCGGACCGGACGTCCGAAAAAAAATTTGGTTTTCGGACATTCGGACCGGACGTCCGAATTTTTTCAAATTTTTTTCGGACGGACGGACAAAACTTTGTCCGTTGACACCTCTAAATACTGCGTACTTTATGAAAAGAGCCAGGTTTTTAACGAGGCGAGAACTGAAAGTTGTACTAAATCAGTGTAAATTATTGTAATTATAAAATGATGTAACATTCTTGCACTCTTTTCCGGCCAAACACTTATTTAAACCTCATTATATTCATCCAGAGCTTGGCGGTGTTAAATGAAAAAAAAAATAAAATAAAATGTTAAACGTACAGTATTGGACCGTAATAAACCCTACTGAGCGTTACCTAGCTGTTATATCGATATTTAAATAGAAAACTTGTCCCGAAGGGTGTTTTTTCTTTCATATGGCACAAGAGCCGGACAAGTACCAAGCACACTTACAAGTAAAGGTCCCCAAGTGTCCCACGTCGATTTTAAATTTGAGTATACAGATCGATAGGATATGAAAAAAAAGTAATATTGACAAAAGGGCAGCGGCCCCTTTTGGGGTAGAATGGGGATAGAGTACCCCCCTTTGTTAAACTTCGTCCAATCAAAAAATGATGTATGGGCCATACAGTATGGCAAAGTTGTTCAGAATGATGAGAAAATTTTTTTTGGGTAGCCGCTCTCAGACGTGTGCAAGGTCAAAAATTCTAGGGGGGGGTAAAATGATTTTGCCAGGGGGGGTCAAATTTATAAATGGGTGTCTGAAAATTTATAAATGGGTGTCGAAAAAAAAGTTAAGACCTTAAAGAAAAAAAAAGGTCCTCACTTTTGGAAATCGATTGTATCTAGTGTAAAACCAGTCTCCGAAAAAAGTGAGGACTAAAAAAAAGGTCCTCACTTTTGAAAATCGATTATATCTAGTGTCAAATTTTCCAAATCGCTTGGAGGGGGGTCCACATTTTGAAATCCTAGAGGGGGGTAAAACCGGTAAAACCCCCCTTGCACACGTGTGGCCGCCCTCCAATTTTTTCGACCCCCAATGGGGGGGGGGGGGTCTCCTGCCCAGGGGGTACATTTTTTCGACCTAAAACCCAAAAATTCGGATTCCTCATACCCAAATTAGTGGGAATATGTATTTTCTCAACGGCTCCCCGCACCCAGTATCCCAGAAATTGAATAGTTTTAATTGCCTCTCATTTGGGGTCAATTATTAAAAAGTCAATTTTCTACCCTTTGGAGTGGAAATTTTGCATAGAAATGTGAACCAACTATAGCTAATTTTTTCCGGGCCTTCAATTTTTGCCCATGGTCACCCCCCCCCGCCCCCCCCCCCCCCCCCTTTGGGAGTCCCCATACAATTTTATTGAAAAAAACTAATTTTTTCTGTATATCGGGTCAAAAAACCCCTTCACACTCCCAAACAAATTACATTTTTGAATTCCTCGTGAAAAATTACCTTTAGGTTTAGAACCTTTCTCATCAAAAAAATCATCCCTTATGCTCTTAACCAAGGCCGGAATACATTAGAAGGTTTTGGGTGCGATTTGTCTAACATTCCGGCCTTAAATTAGGACATAAGGGATGATTTTTTTGATGGGAAATGTTCTGAACCTAGGGGTAATTTTTCAAGAGGAATCCCAAAATATAATTTGTTTGGAAGGTTTAGGGGGGTTTGACCCTATTTTGGGGATGCATTGGTCATTTTTCGCTATTTTTTCACTTTTTGACCCTCCATTTCATTTCGGGGGTGGAGGGCAACTCCACCCAAGGTGTCATTTGATTCTCTGGAGTATCTTGAACATTTCATATCGACATATTTTTGTCCTCAAACTATTTCTAGTATGAGAAAATTGTTGAAGCATTGTAAAGAAGGGGCCATATCCCCACTATACCCCAAAAGGGGCCGCTGCCCTTTTGTCAATATTACTTTTTTTTCATATCCTATCGATCTGTATACACAAATTTAAAATCGACGTGGGACACTTGGGGACCTTTACTTGTTAGTTATTATTTATCTAGAGGTTTTAGAGTCAGCAAGTATAACCAGAACTAGTTTTTCTCTTCAAGATTTCCAAAAATTGGACCAAAATCAAAAAAATATCCAGTTGGTAAGGAAATCTTACATCTAGCTACAAAATTCCATTTATATCATAGCGTTTTATGCACTTGTTGCTAGTCTAGAATTGTACGGAAGTTTATATTCGATGGACACTAGTAGCATCAAAATTATTCTGAGGTTCAATATTTTGAAAACTTGATGAAAAACCGTAAAATTATCCAAAAATGTATGAAAGATCTCGTTTTTCATCACTTTAGACCATTTTATTCAAAAGATTGAAAGCAAAAACTATTTTCATGAGCTGTCATTCGTCTTTAATTGCAATCCACATAATATGTTGTTACTAGTTCATGGAACCACCCGAAATGAGAGATAAATGGGATTTGTTGTGAATGATGAAAAATTGCATATATTTTTGTTAATTTTTTTTAGCTAAGTAACGCTCAGTAAGGTTTACGTAATACTGTACGTTTAACATGACTTAGTATAGTAATCCATCGCCCAGAGTTGCCAACAGGCATACAAAGGGTTTGCAAAATTTAGTAATTTTTAGTAAATTTTCAGAACTCTTCTTGTACTTGGCATGCAAAGCTCTTGGGGAGTAATAAGAAGTTGCTTCAGACACTACTATTTCGAGTAGTTGGAAAGTTATGGGACTTAGAAAAGCATGGGGGCGACATCCAGAATTTTGCGTTCAGCGCCGGTGTACTTTGTAGTGGAAAAAAAAGTGAAGCTTGCTTGTCACCAATATTGATGTTCACGGACATCAAATCGTTTATGCGTTATTTCGCCCACTTTATGCACTGAAAATATAAAGTTCTTCAATTTCTAGCAAATTTCACATATGAATTCATAAACACATCGAGAAAACACAACTTTTTTTCACATGAAAAGCAAAAGCAAGATGATTTTTTCGTTGATGGTTGTTCGATCCTGGATCACTTCCGATTCATCGATGATTTGCAACCCATCTTTTTTTTTATCGAAAGTCCAACTGAATACGATGTTTTGTATTGATTAAATAATTCTTATTTATTTACATCGCTAAAAACTGGCTGAATAATTTGATTTGCAGGAAAATGACTCCAAGAGTCATGAAAAACCTGATCTTTTTTATTTTTTATTATTAGGTTTGGTTTGATTTTTACGTTCATTGACCAAAGTAACTATATTCCATTATAAATAACAGGTCAAAAACAATCACCGACTCAATGGATGGCTATATCACAGTCAAAGTTACTAAATTTCAATTAATTTGTGTAAAAATCACAGTTTTGCCTCATTAATGCTATACATTTATCAAAGACGTAAAAAAATAATTTGTCAGTACTTTAAACTAAAAATTTGGCTGTGCTCTTTTCGTACTGATGAGATGAAGTTTGCGCGACTGGTTGCATTTTTGAATGGATCAGCCACTTTGTTTGCGTATTTGCACAATTGTGGAATTTGAGCTCTAATCTGTTTGTCCATCAGATTGTCCTTGATCTTTAGGTAGTTAGTGTGGCGCAAGGTACGAATGCTCTCACCTACTGCTATATCATTGCGTACAGTAGGACAGTTTGCGTATCCATTCACGATATCGTAAGTAAATACAATTGATGCATTTACTCTCCTTCTTTCTAATGATGTCATATTTAGGGCTTCGAGTCGCTTGTTGTATTCGGTGATATTATATCCGTTGGCTGCTGTACGATACTCTCTTCCGGCGAACTGTGTGAACTTTCTCAAAACGCTTTCGATTTTGTCGATATGTATGGCATAAGTTGGCAGCCATACAACGTTGCAGTACTCAAGATGAGACTGAACCAATGCGTAATACAATGTTTTGAGCGTTTGAACATCGGTGATGTCGAAGCAAAATCTCCTGATGAAACCAAGGGCAGCCTTTTCGTTGTAATTGCGTCGATGTGCTTGACAAAACTAAGTTTTTGGTCAATGATGACGCCGAGAACTTTGTGGTCCGATACGTGCTTGAAAATGAAATCACCGTATTTGTAACTTGTATCGATAACGTCCTTCTTCTTAGTGGTGATTTAATATTTTTAGTGCATAAAGTGGGCGAAATAACGCATAAACAATTTGATGTCATCAATATTGGTGACAAGCAAGCTTCACTTTTTTTCCACTACGAAGTACACTGGCGCTGTGTGTACGAAAAATCGTTTGTATGGTTCATGTCGCGTGGATGGAAAAGTTTGCAAAAAAATTGAAATATTCCGATGTAAAACTTCTTTTTAGGCCATGATTGAAATTTTCCAAAAAATTGGAGGAAAAATATCAGAAAAATCTATTTTTTTCGAAAATAAAATCGATAAAACTACTGCGGTTTTTGGCCCACATCGTCATTATTCATCGAAATTCATTCAATTCCATCGATATTTTCACCCAAAAATGCAGGAAAAAAATGTATAGTCCACTTTAAAATTGAAACTGTTATCAAATTGAAACTGTTATCAAATTGAAGAAATGAAGAAATCATGGGTGCATATTGTTGTTTTATTTGGATGCAAACAAAGTATTCAGCCAGTTTTTGGCGGTGTAAATAAATAAAGGAAATAATTAAGATCAATTTGACGTAAATTTAAAGAATCTGATCGAACCCAGCAGCCAAATGTAAAATAAATACGTTTCAAAATTGTATCGGCCATATAATTCGATAGGGTGTATATTTGAATTCAACCTAATCTATAAATTTTTTGAAGACACTACTTGGAACACACTCAGGGAAAACCTTGGATCCTATAAATTTTGGGGTGGATTGTGATTCTGGATGGATAAGCATTAGCATATGAAAAAAATAGTATGAATGATGGATCATTGCTAGTTAGATGAGTAAACTAGTCGTATTACTAACCTTTACCAGCCGTGAGCACACTGATCGCATCAGATTCGGTAAAGTGAACTTGTACGGTACTCGTTGGTGTTGTTACTAAATTGTTTTTTTAATTTAAATGATTTGGGTTATTTGGATGTGGGTTATTTGTTTCAGAATGAATGCATCAAGCATAAAAAAGAAAAAAAGGAATGTGAAAAAAGAAAGCACACGTTAAATAAATGAACAAACTATGCTGACACATTAGGCAAAGGGAAAAAATTCTAATATGAATTAAAAGTAAAAAAAAATGACCGAAAACTCATGTACTGCAAAAAAAATCCAAGACACAATTTTGAAAGGCAAACAAAATCACAGAAGTGCAAAAATCTCTGCGTTATTGGTGCGTATTTAAGTTTATAAAAGTGACGACAATGAAAATTTACCAATTTCCGGTCGCTTGATAACAACTCTTTCATTGGCACCCTCGGTCATATTTTTAGATAAGATCGACATTAGCAACTGGTAGTCCGTACTTAATAGGTTCATCTATTTGGGGGTAGACGTATTCATGCAGTTCAATATTCAATTTTTCTTTGTTCCGCTAAATATCGCAATTAATACTCACAACAATGCTTTTTAAACGTCCGGAAATGTCAAGATCTGGGATTTCCTTATACCATCCAGACGAAAGGTTTCTTTTGATAATGAGTGCAAATGATGTTGGATTCAAAATATTGTCATCGTGTTTAAAACCATCATCGGCAACAGTTCCCTGAATAATTTCCACTTTCGAAATTTGCATGTCTTTTAATTCCAACTTCATTTCATCCAGAATTGCTGGGCTACGATCATTCTGTTTAGAAAAAAGAGTTCTAGTTAATCGTACGGAAGGGGAATCATAATTTAAACGAGTAAATGGGCATTAGTTAGTACAAATTATTACCTCAGCCGAGTTTGGTACATTTGAACAGCGATTGGTTATACACAAATGACCCAAATCGATAGAAACGGCTTGAAGTGATTTCGAGTCAACGGGAACAATGATAATCGGAGCCTTAATGCGAACATTCAATAACATACGCTTAGCATTTGAATATGCTTCCACCATATTTTGTTTGGCTGTTTCAGCAGCTGCTGCACTAGCATCAGCTATCGCTTGTTGTGCCGCTTGGAAATTATCCAAAAAGTTCTGCAATAACATAAATTCAATATATTTTTTGCATTCGGGAGCAATTTGGGGCGATTTGAAAAAGGAAATGATAGCGAAGAAAATGTATGTGTACCAAGACTGAGTTGACGAACCAATTTAGGAATACAATTTTCACACAACCCATTGAAACGTCAATTTTCATATCGTCACTGTTGTATACGGACGTTTCCTCCAAATTGAAGAGTACAATTTGACATGAGAGGGCGTCGCCTCCAACAACCGTCAAGATCTATTCCACAAATAAAGAAATTACTTTGAATTTGAGTGCAATCTCATCATAAAATATATACGTATAAATACGAATGCCGAAGATTACCGTGGAATGAATGGTTTCAGTATTCAAATCCGTTACGATAATGTCTTGAAGCTTGAGCGTGAGTTCAGTGTACGATGTCTTCATAATTACTCCAGCGTTCATGTTCTCAATTCGCAAGTTGGTGATTGGCCGCTTTTCATTTTCGATTTCAATTGCAACTTGTTCCATTTTCGCCATTACTTTCACCTTGATGCTATCAACAATTGTTGACGGTTTCTTGGAGCTTCTCTTTACTACTTTTTGTTCAATTTTACCTTCTTCTTCGTTGTCTCCATTTTCATCGGCTTCTTCAATTGTTTCCAATGGCGGACCGGCTGATGCCATTCGATATCCGTGGTTTTTTGTCAGAATAGCATCCATTTTGGTTTGGAAGTTGTTAGCAAACTGTAAAATTTCCGTTAGACCTTCTTGGTGCAATCGTAAAATCAAAATAGTAAAGCTAATTTCCACAAATTGTTCGGTCGACTTGTATTTAGTGGTGAATTCTGGAGAGTCTTTGTTAGCATTTGTATAAAATAATGACAACAGATAGTCATTTGTTTCGGCATATCGTGGAGTTTCAATAATTGTGATCTTCTTCTGTTCATTTGGAGTTGCGATTTGATGATAATATTGTGCCATCGAAATCGCACCAAGTCTAAATGAATAAAGTAAAATTTAGCGCGAATAACTTCAATTCATTTCCATGTTCCTTACTTCATCGACACTTTCAAGTCATAAGTGCGTTGAGTGACTGCCATTTCCAATTGTTTTACTGTGAGCGCAAGCTGTTTCGGCAAACCAATTGATTCCAATTCTGATACCGATCCTTGCGTTGAAATTGTGCCCGTTGCTGATGCATATTCTTCGGTAACTGATGATGTCTCATCACCTGGCGAACTTGGCGATTTCGGTGACAGCAATTCTTCAGAATCTTTGAATATCTTTATTGAAATCTCTGCAAAATAGGATCAATTTGATTAGAAAATATTTCGCGACCTCAAATTTTCCATTGAAAATCTTCTACCGTTGAGTTCGAATCCAAATTCCAAGTCGGTGTACTGTGTAATTTCTTCTTCAGAAATGTCACGTTGCTTGTTTTCCAATATCTTCGGCTTCGACTGCCGTTCATCCAGATACCGCTTCAGTGACATGCTTGATGCAACCAACAAACTTTCCTAGTGTGATTTAATCGTATATTTTATCAGAAACTATATCGTTCAATTGATAGTTTCCCTTTTTTCAAATTACCTTATTCAGAGCCATTGGTGTTGTATCACCCTCCGGCAATGGAATACTAGTAGCAAGCGATAATGCGTCGAGAACTTTTTGCTCCGTAACCGAAACACCTATGCTTGGAATTTTTGCATGCAATCTGGTTTTTGGAAGCCGTGGATCGTCATCAACGACACACAATGCAGCTTTCACTTGAAGTGACGTCGGTTCCAATAAATGAAGTCGTGATATTTTACCCTGAGTTAAAGCATCTTGCCAATGATCTGATGATTTAGCTAATAAAATCTATGAGAAGACAATATGGAAAAAATTCAAATTTATTGAAATAACTATTCCTTCTACTCTTTTGAACGGTGGGAGTTAGCAATAATTTGGGATTTTAAAATCTAATCCCAAAATCGAAATACTTGACATAATTTGTTCAATTTATTAACAAATATTTTTGATTTCATTTTGCCTGTCCAAGACCCAACGCAGAATTTTGAAATGCACCCCATTTGTTTTATCATAAAACTTTTATGAACGTGCAATAGTTCCATGGCGAGTGAAGCATTTTTAAAACTTGTAATAAACTTGTTTTTCCTATTACTTTTCCGCTTGTTTTCCCTATTACTTTATGATTTCTATCCGTTTTCCGGCCGTAGAACACGACAAAATAGTTTTTAGAGCGATGTTCTGTGGGTCATGATGAATGTTCGCCGTTGATTCGTTTCAACTAGAGATGGACTGATGACGTCATGAATTGCTCAATTTTCTTCAATCAAAAATATCGTGATGATAGGAATGAATTGGACAGTTCACTGTTTTACACTTGGTGGGATAACTGTGCTGAGTCGAAGTAAAGATATGAACGCATCATAACCAAAAGAACAATTACTACCCAACACTCTCTCATGATGAGACTCTCATCAACTTGATCATTCAAAGGATAACATGCATACAATTTATCGGTCCCAATGAGCACTTTGTTGCATGCTTTTTTGTTGCCTTTCTCCGGTTTTTCTTCGTTGTTTGTTTTCTTATTTGTATGGAATTCTGAGCCATGCTCATGAATGAGACGACATACGTCAATAACTTTCTCTGTAGAACGATTCGCAGAGTCGCTGTTTTTTCGTTATACTCTTCACACTTACGATGAGCTGCGCGGAGCGTGCAGAGCATTGAATTCACTGGCTACGGAACTGCTGTTCTTCGATAGTGAATGTCAACAGCAGCTGTTTACACTGTAAGATACGACGTCGATTTGGAATTTCAATGTTAACGCTGGTCGGAAGGTATGATTGTTTAAATCAATAATGTTGATTCAATGCAGTATGAACAAAGTATGAACTTATTATCGTTTTCACTTCATGCGAACGGGTTGGATAGTAATGGGTGGTGAAATTTATCAAGCGTTCAAAAGAGTAGTGAGTAGAAAATAATATCCTTAGGATTTGTTTGTTGAAATATCTTAAATTATTATCGATAAATCGTTTCTCTTTTACTGTCTACCTGAATATTGTCAATATTTAAGTTGAACTTATCATAAGCTTGGTCCATCATTTCCTTTAGAATATGTTCTGATGTGGCGCCTGCGCCATGCATTGCGGCCACATCTCTTGTATCCTCGCGCCGTGGCTCCGTTTTCAATAAAATGCTACCCAAGCTGATTATCATCAGTGGTACTTTATTCCTATAGAATTGAAATGCGTATATGAATATATGAACATTTTGTTTGCATTATTTCATTTTTCCTTTTAGTTTACATCGTTTTTGCAAAAGATGTTATAGGATATTACAACCTATTTATTATATAAATGAATAAATTCAGAATTGTACGCTTAAAACCAAGTAGAAATAGATTTCTTACTCAATGTATTTTCCACCATAAGGAACAATTACGTAGTTCGGCTGCACAGAAACATTCACCTCGAGACGAGTGTGTTTCTCGATTACGTATTGAATTCCAGTTGCCGACCTCTCTTTAAAATTTGACAGTTTATCGGCGGCTGCATCTGTTAACCTACAACGAAAAGGTTGTGAACGAAAAATAAAAAAAATTAGAAACATTCATCCATTTCAATTAACACTATGATTGCCCCTTGAGTTTGCATCCGTACAACGCCCGAAGTGAATTTTGTTTAAAAACTGGACTGTGATAAGAGATAACGAATTGGGATTTTCGATAAAGTTGTAGTACTCAACTTGCTCTACAAATTTGTTCGGAACACATATAGCTTATCTCTAATCAGTTAGAAACGATTTAAAATAGTTATTTTTATTAACTAGTACACTCACTCTGATAAATTTGCATCTGAAGGCATTTTGAACACTTGCAAAAGCTGGATAATTGTTTCCGCATCGTAAACGATTTGTAGCGGGTATGCATAAACGTCGACTCGTTGATCGCATTGCTTGTCAAGTGGATTCATTTCAAACTTGATGTCTAGCAATGACCTATCGCTTGTAGGTTCCAATATTGATTTTACCATGATTGGCATGAAATCAGATTGTTTGTAACCAAATACAGTGAATTCCTTCATTTTTAAATCCAATCTGAAAACGAAAAATATTTTTATCGTGGATTTTGTAAAAAAAATAACATTTGTGTTTTGAATCATATAATGATTATATAATCTATAAGCTTACTTAAGCCCAGATGAAGCAGGTCGTTGGTCAATTTCACAAGAAACGCCCGAAACTTGAAGCGACAACACAGTTGACAATGACATTTCAAGATCCGAAGGCTTGATGATTTCATTACGAACACATACTTCCAACAATTTCAAATTGAAATGGCTTGTAATTGCCACATATTCCTCGGGCAATTGTAAATCTACCACACCTTCATGATAACCAATCGCTTCGTATAGTTTCGCTTTTTCTTCGCTTGTCATGGCCGTCTTAAATTGATTCACTAACAAAACGAAATTAAACTCAATTAAATTGTATCTCATCTAGCCACAATATCCAAATATCCCTCTAATTAATTAACTCACGAATATCTTTGTCTTTGTCGGCAGGCTCTTCCGTTTTTCCACCACCCCACCAGCCACTAAACCATCCGGCAGACTGCACTTGTGGTTTTTGCAATATACCTGACTGTTCAACTTCAAAGTTAACCCGTTTGCGAATCAATATCAAATTGAATAGATCCAAATGTTCTTCATGTCGATCTAGACATTGCTGCACATCGTTTGTGAGCTTCTTGGCTGTCAACTTTGTTCGATACGCGTCTGCATATGCTCGACACCTATTCACATGGTTCATCATATTTTCCCAAGACCAATCACGTTTGCGCCGCTTAATTTCCGTTTCCATGACACATTCATAGGCGAACTTCCACCAAAGTTTGGCATTTCCTCTATACGCTATAGATAAGATATAATTTAAAATTAGAATGTGACAACTACGAAATTGCAATTATTCCTGAAAATAGAGAAGATAAGAAATCATTCTTACGAGTATTGAATGGTCTGAACTTTCTATACGGTACGCCTCTTGACATCGCGCCCATTCCGTCCGCTAGTTCAATGAGCCGCTACAAAATGCAGAAGAAATTGTACAAAATCTTTTTTTAATTATTCACCCTATGAGCATTTCAATGATCATACCTGGTATTGAGCTCGTGTAATACCAACTGCCAACTTCTCCATTTCCAAGAATAAATCAACTTTGGGTACTTCAAATGGTGGTGAATCCAATTCTGGATTCATATTCAATTTTAGCTTAGCAACGGATGTAATGGGACCAAGAACTAAATAAAAAAAATTCATATTAATTCATAAATGTAATATTCGATGGCGTTTCAAATCGTTTACATACCGTATGTAAAATTTTCCGGCCTTGATTCGCTAGTGGCGATTGTGTCCATGAATAGTTGACTGAATTCGCTGGTCGATCGGCTTTGAAATAGTGGTGTGTTACAATTCATGTACACAGCAAGCCCATCGAGTTTGGCGACTTTAAACACCTTGCTGAGGGCTTCCGATAGAAATGCTTTATTCCAATCTGAATTGGTGGTGTGCACTTCGAGACCGCCCAATGTAATACCAAGTGCAAATGGTATCGTCGATGTCGAACGATCCTCGTAACGAATGTGTACGTTTCGGATGCGTATTTGAACATTGTTAATAATTTGTGCGACTAGTTTTTCGGTAAATGTTTTATCCGCCTTTGGCTTATCCTTTTCCAATTCACGTTTTCGTGCCTCATCCAATTTGGCCAATTCGCCTTTCTTCGTATCCACATCGATTTTCTTCTGTTTTTCAGCATCATAGCTAACTGCCTGATTTGGCGCCACCAACAAGTACAGATCCTCAACGTCTGCCTCTACTGGAAGACTGTATAAATTTTTCCATGGAATTTTTAAAACCAATTTTCCCAACTGCCCATAAACCAACTGAACAGGTAAGTCCAATTCCTTTAAAGCACTTTGCTTGAGCTGTAGGTTTTTCAATACAACATCACCTTGAAAGAGGAAAATTCATCAAATTTTATTTGATTATCATTTTTGTGTCCGGTTTGGAGGACCTATTGAAACAATATATTATTAATATCAAAAGAAGAAAAATCGTCTACGCCAATTTCATCAAGAAGAAAAGCGGAAAGAAATTCCCCGATTTCGATTGACGTTATTTTTTCTAATAGGGACATCATATTTAAATGTCATTGAAACGTCAGTGCGTTTCCCATCACATACAAACAGCGAGAGCGTATATCTTATTCATACATTTACGATATAAAGAGAAATATATAGCTGTCAAAATTATCACCACGATAATCGACCTAAACTTTTAAGTTAGTGGAAGAGAAGTGTTTGCAACAAATGTGTGACAATACGAATGCTGTTGATTCCATGTTTTCAATAATTTTGAACGGAAGAACCTTAAAATAAACGATTTTGAAATAAAACACACAAGAATGGTATTGAAAACCTAGTTTGCTGGTGGTTTTGGTGATCGCATCAACTTAAAATGGGTGGAATTATTTGGTCAGACGTTTTTCCAACGAAATTAACACTATGTATTTTCATCGGCTACATGAGTTTATTCATCAGCCAAGGTATTATTAACAAATTAATGAACGGCAATCTGTTGCGCAATGTATTTGAAATATGTATTTATTTTGAATAGAAATTTATTTATTTTATATATATTTTATAGGGATTTTAGTTACAGCCTCCCAAGATGAGTCCAGCAATTATCATTACAACACAATTTGCGTTGTTTTAATCACAGAACTGGTAAAGTTAATAGCATCGACCGCGTTGTATTGTAAAAGGTATTTTAATTTGTGTGTATATGATGCTAAATCAAAACATTTCGCATAGAAATGTTCAGCCCACATAAGATTACATCCGTCTTTAAATGATAAAAAAATGCTCTGTTCTTCCAGCAATTCGGTCACTTTGTTGGTTAAGGAAACAATTGACAACAAACATTTGCTATTGCTGTACTTTATCCCGTCGCTATTGTACTGTATTTACAACAATTTAACGTTCAAAAACTTATCAACTTTCGATCCGACGACTTACTATTTGTTACTTCAGTTTCGAGTCGTGATAACAGGAGTCTTATTTCAGGTGAGCTTGAACTTTGAATCGAAGGTCAATAAGATTAGATTGAATAGTGCAGACATGTTCCATAAATGGTGTCATCGAGTGAATAACTGAGATTTTAACAGTAGTTCTCTTGCTGAACATACATTTGCTGCCTATTCACATTTGTCTATCCATCGGAGTAATTTGAAAACAGGCATAAAAGCGAGTTAGAATATTCACTCATAAAACATATCATCTGATGTTCACTGAAATTGGATGAAAGTGATTCAACAAGTGTTAATTGCTGAGATAATTTAATCGAAATGTTTTTTATTCCAGGTGATTTTCCACAAGATATTAACACGACGCCAATGGTTCTCATTGATCCTACTGACACTGGGCTGCATGGTGAAGCAATTGAATTTAAATGACTTGTTCGGCAATTCGATCAACTCAAACATATCATCACTGACAACAGCAAAGCAAAATCTGACTATCAGTAAGAATACGAACAAAAATACGACCGGCTTTGATCTCAGCATAGACGCCATTTACATATTCATTCAGTTGGTATGCTCATGTTTGGCTGGTGTTTATAATGAATATTTACTGAAAGGCGAAGGTGCGCGCATCAATATCTATGTGCAAAATATATTCATGTACGTTGATTCGATCGTATGCAACATAGTATTATTAGTACTTCAGGGGAATTCGTTGGAATCCATTAATGCGACCAACTTGCAAACGGTTTTCACGTTTAATGTGATTATTATTATTTTAAATAATGCGGCAATTGGGATCGTTACCAGTTTTTTTTTACGCTACTTAAATTCTATTCTAAAAACATTTGCAAGCGCATTGGAACTACTGTTCACGGCAGTGTTGTGCTATTTTTTGTTCAATATTCCGATTTATTTGAATACAGTCTTCTCGATAGCGGTCGTTTCGGTCGCTATCTACCTATATTCATTGAGTCCCGTCGTAAACACAACCCATGTAGCAAGGGAGCACTCGAAAGAGCACAAATTTTCACACGAAACCGTTGAATTACTGAAAGACAAACATGACATTGTGTAATAATTCGAACAAAATACAAAAGGTGCAATATTAGACATTTACAATGATAAATGATTTATTTGCTGCTAAGTTGTCTATCTTATAGTAGACTTGTATCTGATTGTGATCCTGAAGTCTCAAATTTTCACTTCCATATTTTCGTAAATGTGTCTCAAAAAACCTATTTAAGTAATTGAGTCGAAACTGATTTTTATTGTTGCAATGTGCTTGCTGTTTTCATAAATTCAGGAATGGGAAAAGAACGTTGAATTTAATAATAGCAATCTAATTTTTATTGACGAATAAGTGAAAAAGTCATCAATAACCAACGGAAAAGTAGTGTGATTCCAAATAATGTACATTAGGGTGGTTTTCATAACTTGGACAAAAGAAATTGTAGATTTTAAATTAAAGAGAAAAGAATTCTGTATACATTAGTGGTGTTCATACAACGTAGCAATCGATATTCAGACTTCCCGTAGCAAAAATAGCGTATACAATAAAATTCTATGATTTAAATTGTTCATGTTTTTGTTCATGTATTGATTCAAAGAGAATGACCTGAATGGTAAGAGTATTTTTTCAAATTCATTTCTTCTGATTTTCAACGATTACGTTTTAAATTGTCCAGAGATGGCAGGCAAAACTAATGTCGTGCATATTCCCGCTTTTAGTTTTGGTTCATTTTGAAGTTGTTATTGTAAACAAACCGCCGTTCACAATTTCACCATGTCATGAAATATGAAACTTTGCTTCGTTCGACTAAATTCAGATTGAACAACCAGCAACTAAAATCAAAAAGGAAAAAGGGTAAGCTTGATATATCAAACGGGTGCCGGTTGATTTGTATATTGATCTGAGCATTTGAAAAGGCAAGTCATTTGTTGTGAATATAGTTCGATTTACAGTGATTGTTTTTTTCGTTTCTTGTTCAAATTAAGTAATTTAGTTAGTGTTTTTAGGTAGAAAATACATAATATCTAATAATTTTCTTCATATTGATTTTTGTTGTTGTTTAGAATCTCATTAGTTCGCATATCATAGCATCGTTCACAAAGCAGTATTAACACTCTAACGGGATTGTGAAATGGTCGTAAGGTATTGTGAAATTCTTTCTGTTTCACAAAAAAGCAACAACAAATCATTGCTGGTGCATTCTAAAGTAATTTTCTGTGTTTTCATTCTATTTTTTCACGGTTCAATAATGGGCAGAAAAAGGATAGGGGCACATGCCATTCGTGGCAATAGGCCGAAACCGCGGAAAGTTGAAAATGGTCAGCAAAAGGAGGAGAGAGCATATTTTGCAATCAAATTTGCCGCCGCTAGTATTGTTCGACCGAAATATCGTGATCGTGCTCTGCCATGGATCACAAAAACCAGCAAAAAATGCACCGAAATATCTGAATTGGTGTCGCTTTTGTTCGTTAACAAAGTCAGAGCTGCCTCTGAACAGGCCATCATCACCGGCAATTGGGAATATTTTGACGATGGCGATGGAATGCACATCATCGAAAACTGTTCCTTTGCTGTGTTGCGAGACTACAGGGAAGACGATTTCATTATGGATCCTTGGCTCCGGCATTGCTTTGAGAACGTAGCACTGAGAATCGCTCCGCATGGCCAAACAATGATTACTTCGGTAACTTGATGAAATATTTGTTCCAACAATATGGCCATAATGTGAAGAAGAATTCGGATACACATGCACAGAAACGATTGCGGTATTTCTTGAGATTGAAGGCATTCAGACAGTACTACACTAACCGAGCGAATGGCCTACCGGACACATACGATAAACGAGATGTGGCAAATGCAGTGTCATAGGCAATCAAACGATATGACGCAACAAGAGGTGCTTGGCCAAACGAGATCGATTGTTGCGTTACGTTCGAGACATTCGTGGACCAGCTGACGATGATATCGCCACATACACCAAAGACGAAGATACATGGTTTGCATCATTTCCAATGTGGTTGATCATGCAGTCAGAAATCGAAACGTACCTCAACTGGGTTGAACAACACCACGACAACATCGTGCAAGTCATTGGGTTGCCAAAGATCAAAAATTTGGTGGTCATCCCAATCTGTCATCACACGAAAAAGGCAGTGAGAATAGACGCTGATTTTTTCTATAGAATGATGTGCGAAACCCGTACCATTACGCGTTATGAATATGGTTGTCAACATACATAGTCATAGTGGGCCACGTCACGTTAAAATCAAATCAAGCGTATTATTTCAATATGATTTTCAACATGGAGAAAATCAATCGAGTGTTGAAAGCAAACAAAAAATTCGAACATATTCACAGCGATGGTGTATTCGCCATCGAAGTAAAACTGCAAATGGTACTATTTGCAGTCTAGTACAAACTGCATTTCACTATGAGACTGCAAATAGCACTCAGCACTATTTACAGTCGTGACTATTTTGTTCTAGACTGCAAATAACACCTATTTGCAGAAAATGTGACTGCAAATAACATTGGCCTGCCGCAGCCAAGTGAATTTCATCCACCGAGTGTTAGAAATTTCGCAGCGGTTCCAATGAATTTATTCCAACTGAAACACATACCGATCGACACAACAAACGCAGCAGAATTTTAGTTTTAATTTTGATTTTTCGATTTTAATAATAATTCATGTAACGTTAATTTATTCTGCTGGGAGCTGATTTCGTGCCCCTGCTAAAGTTCCTACCGCTGTGTCGGCTTGTGGACTAATAGTGAAAAGGACAAAAATATAGAGTACTACACTTTGTCGAATAAAAATTCTTTTTGAAGCAATGTGATCTGACATGTGGTTTATGTTATACAGGCGTTCACAGGCGTTCAAATCTTGATCATTTTTTGGACAATTGGATGTACTAGAGCTATATGAATTTACGCTGTGCAATTTGTATGCACCTAATCATCATCAATTACAATAATACCAATATTTATAGGTAAAGTTCCAAATAGCAGGCTTTGTTATGTGCTAAATCCATCACGCTGAATAAATTCATGCGATAGATTTATGCGATAAATGTGATGCGCTCGCTTTGCGGTGAACGAGGTATGTTGCTCTTCACAACCGCTTAGCGATGCGTTCACTGCAAAGCATGAACGTTCATGCGTGAACAACTGAAGAGCAACAGACTTCGTTCACCGCAAAGCGAGCGCATCACATTTATCACATAAATCTATCGCATGAATTTATTCAGCGTGATGGATTTAGCGCATAACAAAGCCTGCTAAATAGAAGTAAATTTTAGAAAGTTGTGCCGTTTATGGTTTATATGCGATTAGAAAAAGTTAATGCATTGCTATTTTTCGTCTGAGCCATAGAAGTGTGTGTGACAGTTTTCACATTTTGGTAGCGAAAATAATATCGAGCGGTTTTATTGGCGAAGGCCGAGAAATTCAAAAATAACAAGCACTGTTTTAAGAATTGGTCTGAATATCGCATGAAATATAGAATATATGTTTAAAAGGCTCACGTCACTTTAAGGCGTAGCCACTCGTAATTGAGTGAACGCAAGTCGTTTTGCGAAGTAATGATAAAAATGTATTATTTCAGAATTCAGAAACATTTTGTGATTATGTATACATCTACAGTCAAAACTTGCCTTTGCTACAACAAAAACGTCATATTAAATTTTTTTTAACGAAGCACGGACAATTGAATATGAAATTCAAACGACGAACGAATCGAAAACTTGTAACAGTTGACGCTTTACTCAGATCGCCGATACATGAAGTTAGTGATGATGATTCGACTCACGGTCATGTCCCCATTCATCAAAATCAACAAAATCCCAGAAAGTCTATTTAGTCTCAGCGCCACAACCAAATAATAAAAAGAGAAGAAACACACGCGCGGTTTAAACGACAACACGTTATCGGAAAAAATTAAACCGTTTATCTAATGCAATGAATTTAATTGGCGTTTGGCCAGAATAGGTAAACATCGAATAGTAATCAACGAAAGTGGCAAAACAAACCAGCTGACAATGAGTCAATATTTTTGCAGTATTCCAAAAACGGTGCCTCGATGATCATCATGGTTTGTTTTAATCAGTTTGAAGTAATAAATTGACTGCGATTTTGTTTACGTTCAAAACGATGAGAACGTTATGTGGATAAAGAAATGTGTGAATTCATTTGGCACAGTTTCTTGCTTGGTTAGTTAAAATGAAGAAGTAGCATCTTCAATTTTAGCAGAAGTGACATAGCCGGCCATGATCTGCCGTTTATTTACCGAATGCAAATTAATTGATCTATTTTTATTCCGATGTTCCGATCTATTGCGTTCTATAATTCGCGAGCAGTGAAGACAAAGAAAATAGTATTCGCATTTCGTACTACATGTAGCTGTTGAGCGACAACACCCAACTCATAAATAATCATTACAAACGTTGAGTGAATGTTATGCCTAATTATCATGCACACACAAATGCACAATTAGTTGGTTATATTTCCAACTAATTCTAATCGTTCTAGTGAGTGAATGAAATAAGAAAAAACACCTAAATGGATTTCCTTTCAAAGCGAAATTAAGTATGCGTGATGTATGGCACTTACAAAATGATTGACGATTGGAAGCAAACACACACACATATATATATGATCCGCTGAGATGTGAATGAAAACAAAAGAGCGATGACATTACATTAAGGCAGGTCAAGCGAAGCTGTAAACATTACCATCGATGTGAACAATTTTTATAGAGTATAATATTCAAAATCTTTTTTTGCGCGATACATTTTAGAGAACACATCGTAATTCTCGAAAGATATGAAACAAAGCAAATTGCGCTCTACTTCAAGATAAGAAAGATGGAATCAGTATGAAAATCGTTGCGGCATATGTTTCTCTTTTCCGGAAAAATCAATGAAAAAGAGCGAAATGTGAACGACATTTTGACAGCAGGGAGTAAAGTTTCAGGATTCCAGCCGTTAATCGCACAGAAGCTCAAATAAAAATAAAAATATAAATTAATAAATTAGAATTAAGATTTACTTACCGCCCCAAATACCAATATTGAGTTGCTTGTGATCCAAATTTTCGATAAAATCGCCCAAAAAGCGATTCATCAAATCGGTAACAATGCTTTCGAAAACCATTTTTCCTTACTGCAAACACCACGAAAAATATATGCACGTCCGCACCCGATTCAGTTTGTTTCGAATATTTAACTTATTCCTTCTTGTTTTTGTTTTATCATAAGTGCTCTATCTCACAAAAACCACTCTCTTTCTTCACTATATACGGGAAAAAGACGGAAAAACAGAAAAAAATAGAAACATCATTTTAACTGCATGTCTTTAGTCAACGAAACAGGTTCTGATAAAAAAATAAATAGCTCAAGTCAGAAAGACGAGACTTTATTTAATTTTTTCTTCAAATTTGACTATGGATGCGATCAAGTATTTTCGATTCGTACGTATTTTTTCCATTGCTTCATTTTAGGCATGATTCAAATGAAAGTGAAATCAACACGATTCAGGGATATTTTTTTTTGTTAAAGCAGAGCTATGATAACGATGACATCACATTTTGAATTCAATGTGTGTTGTATTATTATACATACGTTCATATTCCACCACGGAGCGAAACACAAAAAGAATCTCTCTTTCTCTCTCTTTCGGATAGCTGGCAAGTTTGGTTATATCATATCAAGGAGAATTGTGCACAATTGCCAAAAGGTAAAAATATTTCACAGCGAGAAAAAAATCACAGGCCAAAATCCATGCCTCACCGAATGGAGAGTAAGAGTGAGAAGAAGAGCGAGAGACAAACGAGATAAAAACAAATAGAACCTGAAAATGAAAATGAAAATGAAAATGAAAATGAAAATGAACACACCACAGTTCAGTTTACAAGAAGAAAAAAGTGGCATATTCAGAGTGATTTTCTGCAAGTATTGTTGAAAACAATGAGTTTAATTTTGCTAAGTATTTGTGTGTTGTCACACGAAATGAATCTGTGTACGCGTTTGTTTTGAATCACATTCATTTTAATCAGTTTTCAATGGAATTGAAATTTTGTATTCTTTTTCATTTCAAGCATTGCATTGCACCATCGTAAATTATCAACATACACTGCTGTATTGGTGACATGAGCAAAGTAATGCGAAACCCTTTCATCAAGTTCACTTTGAAAAACGAATTTCGTACGCGATATGTGTCAATTTCAGTCTTAATATTTTAATTTCGCCTTTTCATTGACAAATCATTCTTATTTACAGCAGGAAACTTCACTATCATTCGAAAAAAAAAATCAAAATTTGACTCTTACACTTTTCGATTTCAAAAATTTGGCTCGGTATGACCATTTGTCAAATGAAAACATTAAGTTGTACACTGGAAAGTGGACACCAAGTTTATATTTTTATTGCCTTCTTTTCACGATCTCAATTGTTTCGTCTCTTTTACTCGTTGTAAATTGTATGGTGTGTACGGACAGCTAAAAAGCTGAAAGACGACTGTCACATACCTAAACGCGTATTTGTAGCTAAAAATGTGTTATTGCTTCACTTTAATCTCCTTCTCTCTCTCTCTCTCTCTCTCTCTCTCTCTCTCTCTCTCTCTCTCTCGACTTTGAATACTTTAATTAACGTCGCGTTCGACAATTTCACGTGAACGCGTTCTATTGCGTTCTAATGTATCATTCATTACGCTTCGGGTTTTGGGCGGTTTTCACTTTCATTCGGACAATAAAATGCAATATATTTTAGTTATTGCGAAACTAGAAACTTTTTTCCAACTCTGATGTTTTAACGATAAGAAATAAACATAAATTCATTTTGTTGATTTATTAAACCCTTTACATTAATTGTTCGTGCTTTGAAATGTTATTAATGTTGAAGTTGATGACTTGTTTGGAGACTTGATTTGAATGATTTTGAACAAGTTATTCGTTTCATGTGAAAATACAATTTTTTATGCAAATATCTTCTGCGGCCTCTGATAGTTCACAGTTCATCTTTTGTGGATTTTACATTTCCCTTCCCACTGTACACTTTATTTTCAATTGAGACGGAATCACATCTCTCCTGCTCAATGAGATAATCTTTGGCTTCCCACGATTGACTGCCGTCTTTGAACATGAATATAGCCCTGTTATCGTCAATCATGTATCTATATAAAAGAGAAGATATCAGTGTGTAACTCATCTGTAGCATACTTTTCGGCTAATATTTACTTTTCAGCTTGGATGTTTGCATTCCAAAGGCTTGTTTGCCAAACTTTGGTGATTTCTTCACTCTCTTGACGATTTGGATTGCGTGATACAGTGACAAAAGCCATGACGGTTCTGCCCTTTTTTGACACTTTCAGTAGATTCTCTGGATTGCTGGTGTCCATGTTTGATAAGTCAATTTGTGGTGCGGGTCGCAAATGCTCCGGTGTATCGTCATCTGGATCACCATCATCGTCATCTTCCTTGAATTCCAACCAAATTGGTTTCAATTTAATTCTTTTATATTATATAGAATATTGTGAATTTCTTACATTCCATTGATCTAACAATCGTTCCATATCGGCATCTGAATAGTCTGTTAGCTTTTTCTTCGCCCAAGCCGGTTTTTCTTTATTGTCGTCGTTCTTCTTTGCATTTGCAGTGATGACGAGACAAACAACAAGCATCAAAATCAATTTTCTACTTGAGGTAATCATTGTAGTAGTTAAAAAGGAGAAAAAACTACAAAATTATTTCCAAATTGATACTGAATTTTATTGCAAAAAAATGCAATATGCTGCGTTGCTATTATTGACTGTCAGATTTCTGAAACGTCAATCGCAAAATAAAATGCCACGCAGCGATCCGTAGCGTTAGACAGCAAATTACTATTACATTCAAATCCGGCAAAGGTCTTACTGGAATGTTTTTGTCCCTATTTCTATTGTTTCTTATCAGCTTTTCGTAATTTCCATCAAACTTATTTCAACACTCAATATTCTGTTGTGTAACTCAATTCAAAAACTAATTTAAACTAAAAATGAGTGTTAAAGCGAAAATTGGACCATCAATTTTAAATGCTGATTTATCACAATTGTTCGAAGAATCGGAGAAATTGCTAAACAATGGTGCCGATTATTTACATCTAGATGTTATGGATGGAACATTCGTGCCTAACCTTACATTCGGTCACCCGGTTGTGAAGTGTTTGCGCTCCAAAATCAAGGTACATTTTTAAATTCCCCAAAAAAGTCTATTTACGTAGCAATTTTGAACAATTTCATTTGCAAGGATGCATTTTTCGAAACACACATGATGGTTCAACGGCCACAACAATGGATTGAGAGTATGGCTGATGCCGGTGTCGATCAATATACGTACCACATCGAACCAGTTTTAGATCAAGTTGACGAAATCAGCCGAAAAATTCGTGAAGCAGGCATGAAAGTGGGTCTAGCTATCAAACCAGGCACTGATCTTGAAGCAGTTGTCAAGCACATTCCAAACGCCGACATGATTTTGATTATGACTGTTGAACCAGGATTTGGAGGACAAAAGTTCATGACGAATCAAATGCCAAAGGTGAAATGGTTGCGCGAAAACTATCCATTACTTGATATCGAAGTCGATGGTGGAGTTGGACAAGAGACCATTCATCAATGTGCCAAGGTCTTTAACTCGTTGAAGAATTTATTATTCGAATTCTTGTAATTAAAAAATATAATGATTTTTCTTCGTATTTTAGGCTGGGGCTAATATGATAGTGTCTGGCACAGCTATTATTAATGCGGACAATCAAAGGGAGACCATTTCACTTCTACGTAGCACCGTGCAAGATGCAATCGATGCATGATTTTACTCGGACAATAACTATTTTACATTGTTTTATGGAATCTAATATTGTGTTAATAAAAACAACGGAAGAAATGTTCTTCAAGATGTTGAAAATCATTTTCAAGAACATATTTTTTTCCCCTCGTGTCCTTCGACGTGAACTTGACAGTGAATTTTTGTCAAGAGCACAGAAACTGAATAACCTTAATCGTGACCTTGGCCTTGTCACTCAATGAAGCTCTCGATACTTGGGGTAATTGACTAATATTATCACATCCGTATATAATTCGAAGTTTATCCATGCCGTATTTGTAACGTTGCGATGGTTTATGCCCCATAACAATATAACTGACAGCAATTGCTATATATTCCGAGGCATTTGCGTTGTGTTGCGAATGTATACGTTTACAGGTTGCCATGGTGTTTTGGTTTGGAGATGGATCTTCATGGAACGTGTTAACATGTCGATGTATTGGTGCAAAACAACAATGTTTCGAATAACCGCATTTGTTTGGCATCGGTCGGTTACTAGCGTATACCTGTCAGTCGTTGGTTACCTAGTGAAAAAAGGTGAAAATTGAAACTGAGTCATTCTATGTAATGAAAATGTAATTTTCACACAGCTACATACTTTTTCGTTCGATGTGAAACAACGAAAGTGAAATCTAATAAAATCAACATGTTTGTTTATCTGAGTAAAAAGGTTTGTGATTTATCAAATGAGAATTCACTCTGATAGTTTTGGATTAATAATTTTGCTATACAGATCGCGATTCCTAATAACACGCGCATCAATTGCATCGCTTGGAATAAGACGCAGGGATACATTGCGGTTGGTGGTGAAGAGGGTTTGCTTAAAGTATTAAAATTGGATACACAATATAATGCATTGAATAACAATCAGAGTCGAGCAGCTCCTGCGGCTCCCCAAAGCAATTTATGTATGAATCAATCACTGGAAGGACACAAAGAATCAGTCCAAGTCGTAACGTGGAATGATACCCAGCAGAAGTTGACTACATCTGATCGAGATGGTGTCATTATGGTTTGGATGATCTACAAAGTAAGAAACATGAATTATCTTATGTATATTTTGGATAAATCATAAATTTTTATAGCAACATTTTTCTTAAAAGGATACTTGGTACGAAGAAATGACGAACGATCGTAAAAAATCAACAGTAAAAGGTATGTCAAATAATCCCATACATAATTGAATTTTGTTGAACTCGGTACACCTTGAATAATCATAATAGTATCTTCGGTTTTCCCCATTGAGACCACCTTAGTGAGATCATTTCGATCATTGATTTGGGAATTTCTCTGTATTGCTTGCAATAGTAGAAAAGTTTGAACATGGTATTTTTTATGCCTACCTAATCAATATTCTCGATAAACAAAAAACGATCTTGCTCTTATTTGGCTATTGATAAAAAGAGTGTGGGAATTGGTTGATTACTTCCAATACAAAATACTATTCCCCACTCTCTTGGACCTTACTAGCCAATGAAATGCCAAATAGTTGGCATTCTTTTTGAACAATTTGACATATCATTTCTGCTATCAAAACACATTTTAGTCAAGATGGGGTTTACCAGATTAAAATCTTACAATTTTGGAATATTCACAGGCATGAGTTGGACGTCAGATGGTCAACAGATATGCATTGTGTACGAAGATGGTGCGATAATTGTGGGCTCAGTCGACGGAAACCGCATCTGGGGTAAGGAATTGAAAAATACCTCGCTGACTGGCGTCCAGTGGAATCCAGATGGTCGTTTGCTTCTCTTCAGTTTAAAAAATGGTGAAGTGCATTTATATGATGCACAAGGATCGTTTGTGGTTCGTAATAACCAATTAAATATTCATTAAAAATGCTGACACTGTCTAATATAAACTTTTTTCTATTCAGATGAAGATAAATATCCAGTGCGTTCCACTTGGACCAACGAGAAGTATTGGTGTGGTGGGAATAGCATGGTTTCATCGAACACAATCGTTGAGTCGCCCGTCACTCGTCATCGCCTATGAAAATGGAAAGTTTCAGATTATGCGTAATGAGAATGATGACTGTACGAGACATGTTTCCTCACTTACTTATGTGAATTACTTTTAAACTTCAAAAACACCGTTTAAAATAAAATCAAACACATTCATTGTAGTGCCAATAATCGTTGATACAAAACTTCAAGCAACAGACTGTCAATGGAATCATGACGGATCTGTTATAGCTGTATGTGGAATGAGACTGTTTGGAAGTGAAAAAGATTCAAATATTGTAATCTTTTATTCCGCATTTGGAGTGGTGAGTGTAAATATACAATATACAATTTAAAATCTACATAACATGTACTCCCTGCTGGCATATAGCCATATTTCAAACCTATGACAACGAATAATAATAAGAAGAAGAACATAGTCACATCTAATACCTCGTATTTTTTTGTCTCTGCAGCATCTTCGAACATTAAAAATACCTGGTCATGAAATAACAGCATTGGCATGGGAAGGATGTTCTCTTCGGATCGCATTAGCAGTGGATTCATTTATTTACTTCGCTAATATCAGACCAGATTATATGTGGTGCTATTTCGGTAAAACCGTTTGCTATTTGAACGCTGACACTACGAAGACAGGCAGTTATGTCGTTACATTTTGGGATACGGTGTCAAATCAATGCAATAATAAACATATTGACGAACCAATTGCGATGGCAGCAAGCTCTGATCACTGCGTTATTGCCGTTGAGTGCCCAAGTCTATCATCAAAAGATCCAAACATTCTGATAGAAAATATCAAACTGGATAAGAAATATCAACTCTTGATTTGCAATTCAATAAGCACTACTGTTGATTGTAAGTGTGAGAGAAAGAGATTGTTTGATTTATGTTTTTAGCAATAGATTATTTTTTTCAGCTAAGTATATTGATCTACCGCTGCAATTCATCGCAATGAATTCCCAATTTGTGGTCGTTGCTTCTCAAAATCATTTTCTTCTTTGGCAATATCACACACCAAAGGTATGTACTTCAAAATCGAAAATCTTGCAGTTTTGCAACAGATTTTGATTCCATTTCATTTCGACGAATCTAACATATAGGGAACATCAACATTGCATAATGTCAAAGGACGGAAGGATAAACGATATCACATTGATGATACACCATCTGGAATAGTTGAAGTAATCAATGATTTGGACAAAGGTGGCTACGAACCACCTCTGAAAAATGAACCAACACTCGATCCAATTTGCTGCATCGCAATATCCGAGAGTATTCTACTGATTGGCCGTGAATCTGGAACGATTAATGAATATTCCGTACCGAATGTTGCACTGCGAAATCGACATTCGCTTACAAATCCACCATACAAAATGGCCATAAACAGTAATTCAACGCGTGCGGGTGTTATTGATTCAACTGGACTGCTTCAAGCAATTGATTTGGTCGATAGTCGTGAATTGTCAGCCGGTTCAATGCGAATTGGACGCATCGAACGAAAAGATGTGTGGACAATGTGTTGGGCAAAAGACAATCCACAGCTATTGACCATCATGGAGAAAACACGTATGTACGTTTTCCGCGGAGCTGACCCAGAAGAGCCAATCTCTTGTTCAGGCTACATTTGCAACTTTGAAGATCTTGAAATAACCGGTGTGCTCTTAGATGAAATTATCAATGGAGCAGCAACACCCGATAAAAATACTCACTTGCTTCAGCTGCGTGTCAAATCGCTTCGTGACACTGAAGAATTATTAGCTCATGTTGGAATCACAGAAGCCAAACAGTTTATCGAAGATAATCCCCATCCCAGACTATGGCGCCTATTAGCGGAGGCTTCATTGAAAAATCTTGACTTCGAAACGGCTGAAAATGCTTTCGTTCGATGCACAAATTACCCGGGGATTCAGTTGATCAAACGATTGCAGAATTTTCAGAGCGAAGCGTTGCAAAAGGCAGAAGTGGCTGCATTTTTCGGCAATTTTGATGAAGCAGAAAAATTATACATCGATGCTGATCGAAGAGATTTAGCCATTGAATTACGGCAAACTCTTTGCGATTGGTTTCGAACGGTGCAATTGTATCGCATAGGGCCGGGCATATCAGACCAACAAATGGAACAAGCTTGGAAAGAAATTGGCGACCACTTTTGTAATCTAAGAAATTGGTAGGGAAAGTATAAATTCGAAATAACTTTGTAAGTTCGAACTTGTAAATATCAGTTTCCACCTATTTCACTTGCAGGGAAAGTGCCAAAGAATATTATGAAAAAGCGCATGACATCGAAGGATTGATGGATTCTATGTATTATTTGGAAAATTTTGATGAGCTTGAAAACTGCATAAATAAACTACCAGAGAAGAGCCCATTGCTCGGAAAAATGGGACAGATGTTGGCTAGTGTTGGAATGTGTGATCAGGCTGTTTCCGCTTTTTTGAAACAGGGTGATGTCAAATCAGCTGTAAACACATGTGTTAATTTGAAACAATGGGGTCAAGCTGTTGACCTTGCTCAAAAATATAAAATGCCTCAAATCAGTGCATTGCTCGGAAAACATGCCACTCAACTTTTGCAGGAGGGTCGACTATTTGAAGCTATTGAACTGAAACGAAAAGCTGGAAAGTATGTAAAAACATAATCGTAATTGTAATCAAAATGATTGGTTAAAGAATAGAAGTTATTGAACATTTGGTTGACAGGTATTTGGATGCAGCCCGCCTATTAACGAAACTGGCTGAAGGGGAAGTGATCAAGAAGAGTAGTATGCTGTGCATAAAAAAGTTGTATGTTTTGGCTGGTCTACTCATCGAGGATCATTTGCATGTGCAAGCGTCATTGACTGGTGGAACTAGAGCTTCAATAGTAAATGGTCTTTTGCCGGAAGATTCAGTATTACTCGATCAGATATGGCATGCGGCAAAGGGTTATCACTTTATGTTATTGGCTCAGCGGCAATTGCGCAGTGGACTCATTCACAGTGCAGTATTCACAACGATGCAGCTGAGGGACTACGAAGATGTGTTAAATGTTGAAGATATTTATTGTTTGCTTGCCTTGGCGAGTTGTGCGGATCGATCTTTTGGTACATGCTCGAAAGCATTCATTAAACTTGAATCGCTCGAAACCATCCCTGAGCAACGTCGCATCGAATATGAAGAATTAGCCGTCAACATATTTTCACAGCACGAGCCAGATGATCTACGGTCCGACCGAACTGAATGTTATATTTGCGATGCTTTGGTTCCTAAGTGGTATTCTTCTTGCCCGAACTGTCGAACTCAATTTTCCTCTTGTATTGGTAAGTAAAGAAATCGTTTTTGATAGTTACCGTAAACAATGAAATATTTCGATGAATGATCAATTTTTTTTCATATTCTATTTAGCATCTGGTCGCAGCATCATTCGTCAGATCGATGGATGGCAATGTAAGAGTTGCCATCATTGTGCATATCAAGAAGAAATAACCAACCGAAAGTCATGCCCACTGTGTTTTACTGCGATATCTCTAACAACATCCGAATTTTAGTTCAAAAATCCCATTGAATGAATTTATAATTGAATTGCCCCCAGGCCAATAGTTTTTTTTCATATGCCTTGAAAGTATCAAACACTTGAAATTACAAATTTGACCTAAGGACGCGCTTAAAATAGAGAACGGATTATGCGGATAAGATACCGATAGATCACGGAGAAAATGAACAAATATGTTTTCATTCCTTTTTTTTACACTAGCACATTTACTACTTTCAGATCGAATTAAATAGAGGAAAAAATAAGAGAAAAAAGGGAGAGAGATATCATCCATTTTCCTGAATTATAAAAATTAACTGAATTTTGAATGTCAAATGGAGCCAACCACATTTTCCGAAGTGGTCACAAAATATTCCAAGAAAAATATATGACAGCATTTTCTCTATATTTTTTGTATTGTTCTCTTTTTTTCATAAGTTCTGTGAATCATATTTATACAATTTCGTCCCGTTTTGTTGCTCTTGCAACATCGGTTCTTGTACCCGATAGAAATGAATGCAATTGTGTGTTTTGTGAATGGGACTTTTAGTTATATGCGGCGGCCAATCGTCGAGCTCGTGTCCTTAAGAAAATGCTATCAATATTTTCAAATACTGCACTGGCACTTCTAGCGGCATCAATTTTGTAATGAAGCCCTCTCAACGCATAGTAATCGGCCAACGGTTTGGTTTGCTTATGATAAGTTTCCAAGCGCTTTTTCAACGCTTCAACATTATCATCACTTCGACGAATTAACGGTTCTCCAGTTACCTAATCGTATATGAGGTCGAAAAAATTCGTGTTTAAATTTGTTTATCTGTAGTTTAATGGACATTTCAACACTCACATCGTCAGTCATTGAAATCTTCGGTGGATGGAATTCTTCGTGATACGAGCGACCACTCGATGAGTGAATCAAGCGGCCTGTAATGCGTCGCACCAATAAATTGTCTTCGATTCCGAATTCAATGACAGCATCCAAAGCAGTTTTACGCTTCTCAAGCAACTGATCCAACTGTGATCGGATATAAATATAGAAATGATTGTATTTGTTTTTTGGAAATTTCCTAAGTGATTTACTTTTTCTGCTTGTGTCACTGTTCTTGGGAAACCATCCAATAAGAATCCATTTTTACATTCGGGCTTATCCAAATTGCTATCGATCATATCGACGACCAAATCATCGGAAACCAATTTGCCAGCGTCCATGATGCGTTTCAGTTCGGCGCCTATTTTTGAACCAGCTGCGATTTCAGCGCGCAACATATCACCGGTTGACAAATGGCACACGCAAAATTTTTTCTTCAATAAAGGTGCCTAAGATATCCAATTGCATTTAAGAAACCGTACAGTTATGATTTATACGATCTATAATTACCTGTGTACCCTTGCCACTGCCTGGTGGTCCCAGAAGCACGGCATTAATTCCGATTGGTTCCGTATCTTGGGGTTGTTCTTTTGGTAGAGCAGCTGCTGGAGCCATTTTTTAAAGCCGAATATTGTTTTTTTTATCAAATGTATCGAGTTCTCCACAACAAATAACACTTGATTGCCAAATTTAAAGTCCAGTCAATGTGTAACCTAGAAAAATTATTGAAACAGCACCGTTAAATATAAGGCGTAAGCAGAAGCTCCCAATGATAAATCGATATAATATGACTTATATAATTATGATCAATGAGCCAAAAATTGACTGATAAAATATATAAAAATACAATTAAATTGGTTTATCAAGTATTTAGTGACCTTCTCAAAAACGTGACACAATCAGAAAAGGAATTAAAAACCGCACCGATCTGTCATCATGACAATGTGACAGTAGATATAATATGAAGTTGAAAAGAGTGTGCCAAATTTGTGCACGGTCTGGTGTTTATATGTATGAAAAGGTTCGAATTATCATGAAAAGTTATTAAATCGAAAAAAATCTCGTATTTCAACAGTAATGGTTTTGATTTCAATAGTTTTGTAGTAGATATGTTTGATGTATTGGGGCATACATGATGCCAACTTCACAACGAATTGTCAACATGTTATCATGTCATTGAATATGAATTTTCCAACATTTAACCATTCGCCATCTCACTCATACCCGCTTTGTATATATGCACATGCATACATACACAAGCACAATTATTTCGTTTGGCGGGTTTACGAATTCAATTGCTTAAATTTGGTGAAAACGAAAACAGTTAAAGCTAATAACCATCGTCACACCATCAATGACACCAATCAACCACCTGTCAATCAATTTATCTACATTTAAGTTAATTTGGACTAAATTAATTATTTTTGACTATAACCATTTAGTTGTGACGAAAAAAATTCAAATGGATTATCAGTTTATATCAGAAGCATCGAACAATCGGCCAACAGTACTGGAAGATTATGAATTCAATGAACATGTACGAATTGGACGTGGCTCCTACGGTCAAGTATACAAAGCACGTCAAAAATCATCGTCGAATAACTCCATGACATTTTATGCACTAAAAGAAGTTAAGCTAACGTCTTATTCTCCATCGGCATGCCGTGAAATCGCTGTATGCTTGAATCGCAACTATTTATTTGATTTTTATTTCATTTGGTTACAATTAAATTTCAGCTTTATCGCGAGCTCAAACAGCGCAATATAATGGATTTATTGAAGGTGTATTTTTCATATTCAGCACAAAAGGTAATCTAACACAAAGTTTGAAAGCTATTTTTTGTAAAACAGTTTTTAATTACGTTTTGAAGGCATGGCTGTTATTCGATTATGCCGAGTACGATTTGCATTCGATGATAAAATTTTAGCGTACTGCTGAAGTGGTTCAAACGCAATATATGCCCAATATTATGAAAAAGAGCTGCCTCTACGAAATTATCACTGGTGTCAAATATTTACATGAAAATTGGATATTGCATCGTGATTTGGTATGTTTTTTTATTTATTTATTTATTACGAAGCCTACATTTATGCCAATATATGTTCACAGCAAGCTGAGAAAATGCTGGTCAAAGACCCAATGCGGCATAAACTCCGTCCATGGTGCGTCTTTTGGAAAGAGAATACAGTCAGGGGAGGGGTGATATAAAAGTGAAGCTTTCATACCATTATTGGGTCCGGAAAACCATGGCAAAACCGGCCTGATTCTGCAGAACCAGGGGAAATCCAATGATGAATTTTTGTAATTAAAGTACGTTAACATCAATGGGAAAAATCAAATGAAAAATAACAAACTAAATCTTACTTCTAACTAATTGGATAAGAAATTTATAGCAATGGCGCGAGAAATCGCGGTTTGAAAGATGTCAAATTATTTACTGGGCAGAACGTAACAGATGCTTTAGATTATGTTTTATCGCGACTATTATATATTATAGAATCGGAAAATTGGGGCCGAAAAAATAAATTTAAGCCATTTTCCGACATACTTTTTCAAATAAAGTCAACCTGCACTGAAGGTATGAATGGTATGGAGCGAAAATGTAATACAGAAAAGATGAGCGGAAAAATGTCAAATGTAAGGGGATAGCTATATAGTTCACTATAGTTTAGTATACAGTTTACTATATAGCTATCACTTTTCCACTCATTCATCATCTATGCTTACATTATGATTTGGATCCGTTTGATTGCGTGTAAAAAAAAAATCGAAAATTGGTGTATTTGGATTTTCATTCATAGTGGCCTGGTTGTGGTCAAATGCCAATTTCATCAAGACCATTCCCACCTAAAATGGCACGCTGAACACTTTGTTAAAAGTAACTACATGCGTAAAACCATCAGGAATGGAAGAAATGGCATGGCGATATGTTGGATTATGACGATTTTGCTCTAATCTGGAAATACATATTCCTCCAACCAATTCAAATTTGTCAAAGAAATGAAGAGGAAAACTTTTTTCTCATCGACCGGTACCTTTTTTGGGTGCAATTTTGCAGTTGCTTCAGTCCTTTTACATTTTAACACGTGTAAATTCACTGTATGAAGGTCTAATTCGAAAATTCTGATCATTTTCCGTCGATTTAGTTTTTTAGCCATTGACTTTTTTGTTGAAAATCCGATGTGAGAGCGCTACTTAGCAAAAAATCTATCAAAAGTGTAAACCGACGAATTTATTGACAATAAAATGCGTTTGGATTGGCTGGTAATAGTCATATTCGGATTCTACGGGAAAAAATGACTCGATATAGATTCAAAAACTGTGTTGTAAGTAGTGATTTTGAGGTTTGATGACGTTACTTGTAGCAAAAATTTCGATCGATTTTGGTCATATATTACCCCATAACAGCGCAGTATTGCAGTTTAGAGCACTGTTATATTGACCAAAATTGTATTACTTGACGCTAGCAGTAAGATTCAGTCATCTGTTGTCCAGTATAATCGCGATATTGTACCAAAATTTTCGAATATTCTTCAATTTATAGATTTTTCTCCCCTAAAAACTATATACCTTCCGTGCAGGTTGACTTTATTAGAAAAAGTATGTCGGAAAATGGCTTAAATTTATTTTTTCGGCCCCATATTTCCCTAATTGCCATGTATTGATGGACAATTTTGCCGTTTTAAATGTTTTCAGAAACCGGGAAATATTTTGGTGATGGGCGATGGAAAGGAGCGTGGTATTTGCAAGATTGCTGATTTTGTGATGGCGCGAACTTTCCATTCACCGCTGAAACCTCTGGAGGAGGTTGATGAAGGTGAGTAAAGAAACCATTTTTGATAGTAAACGTAAACAATGAAATATTTCGATTCTTGATCAATTTTTTCTACTATTTAGTGGTCGTCACATCTTGGTATCGAGCACCAGAACTGCTGTTTGGCACTCGTCACTACACAAAAGCGATTGACATCTTTTCGATTGGGTGCATTTTTGCGGAACTATTAACAAATCTGCCAATATTCGCATCGAACCCCGAAACTGTATCACAACCAATTCGTTTGCCTTATCAACGAAATCAACTAGGTAAGGCTCAATTTTCATTGAGTAACAAACACTGAAGTAAAAACGTTTCAAATTCAATTGCCAATTTTATCTATGAAGATAAAGTATTCAGCGTTTTGGGTTACCCATCATTATCAAGTTGGTCTGATCTGAAGCACATACCCAAATATACAAAAATGCAGAAGGAACTCATGCGATCGAAGTAAAGTTTGGATTTTATTCATTTATTCACTTTTTACGACTTCATGCACGCATATCAAGACGCACGGTCAAAAAATTTTTCAATTTCATCTGCAGATAACATCATTGCACATTGGCAAAATACATGGAAGATTTCAATATTGGACGAGATGAAGCATCATTCAATTTACTTTCCAGGATGCTCACAATGGATCCAAAGAAACGAATCAGTTCGGATGAAGCAATGTGCCACAATTATGGACTGATTTACTTTACGGACCCGCCAAATCCATCGTTCGATGTATTTAGTTATTTTGAAGGAAGAGAAGAAAAAATTCCGTTCCCATATCGAAAGTACCTATCAAAAAAGATTGAGCCACCAAAATTTGAACAAAACGCACGAATCACTACAGGCAAAGTAATGCTATTAAAATTGTAATGCCAAAATTTAGCATTACCGGTAATGTGTAACAATTGTAATAGCTATTACTTGACCCGTCCGTTACAATATTAACATGTTACCTAACATTAACGGTAATAAAATTCTGGAAGGGGGTTTTGGTGGATCCTCAGGATCGTTCAAAACTGCTCCTGGTTCTGGAAGTGGGTTTTGGTGGATCTTCAGGATAGATCAGACTGGGTTTGACAATGCCCTGGTCCATCCTGAGGATCCACTTCCAGAACCAGGAGCGGGTTCGAACAATCCAGAGGATCCACCAAAACCCACTTCCAGAATTTTCTTACCGTTAATGTTAGGTAACATGTTACATTTGGCATTACATTGCGTGTGTAATGTTAGAAAATCATATTAATAATGTTAGAATTCTGGCATTACCGTTAATGTTAGGTAACATGTCAATATTGTAACAGACGGGTCAAGTAATAGCTATTACAATTGTAATGCCAAAATTTAGCATTACCGATAATGTGTTACAATTGTAATGCCAGTCATTTGGCATTACCGGTAATAGCTATTACAATTGTAATAACATTACAGGAAATTTTTGTTAACGTAATGCTACTACCTACTGCATTTTTAATGCCGGTAAATCTGTACGAATCACTCGTAGGGTTTAAAAACGCGTTATTTTTTTCAGTGTTTCCTAAAAACGTTTTTTTACAGATCCGTTATATAACGCCCAAAAAACGTTTTTTTCGTTTTTTATCGTTATTACTGCGGTATTTTGGACTGTCAAAAAAAAACACAACAGAAAAATAACGTTTTTTTTTAACACCGTTTGCGGTATTTGTCGAAACGTTTGTAAACCCTAATCACTCGTACAACCCATTTGCAAGGGCGAAATATATGAAGTACTTGGACACAATTATACAAATTTAAATTGCGCACAATATCAAATGACACATGCATAAAGTGGAGTTTGACAGACAGACACTGTACTTAACCTCAAAGTATACAAACCGCGAGAGGAACGAAACAGAGCGAAAATACCGATTTCTAATGTTTTTAAAAATTGAGTGACATTCAGAAAATATGTTTGAATGACAGCATGTAAACAAAAACCGATCGCCACATATCACTTTTCTGGTCTAAATTTATCGAAATCGTTACTCTGCTAATTTTTCTGATAATATTTCATTTGTACTCGGTTTGAGTTGTTCTTGATTCGTGTTTTCGTTCGATGTAAATAAAAAAAATCATGAGCGACTTCTGAGATAATCTTCTTCTCATAGAAATAAAAAAAACACAATTGATATTGCGTCTCTTAAACTGAGTTAAAATAATAAATAGTTTTTTTCTGTGGACATATTGACGGAAATTCCTTTAATAACAAAATATTGGCTTTGTGTGTGTGGGGTTCGTGTGACGCAATTCCGGTGGTGTTAAATAAAATAGACAATAAAATAAAGAAAATTTGTTTGAAACAAAAAAACAAACAAACAAAACTGGGCAAAAAAGAACAAAAAAAATGACACTACTTTATCTCGTTAGCTTAATAGCGATATTAATTCAAATTTGTAGTTTAACTATAGCAGTTGGTAGGTCCTTTTCATTCAGAAATTACAAGTGAAGAATTTGATTATTTGATATTGTTTATTTTCAGCTGCTGGCTTGTATTATCTCGCTGAGTTGGTGGAAGAATATACAGTGATAGCGAAAAAAGTAATCACAGTTGAAGTGCTGTTCGTGACGACAGTTTATTTACTGTTCGTGTTTAGTGACAACCTTCCATGGTCAATGGTGATTTGTGGCCTTCTCTCGCAAATGCTACACGCCGTGATCCTCACAGATTTTCCTTACGTGAAATTGGTGTCGATACAATTTATCGGCGCAGTCGTTATGCTATTTATTAACCACTATTTAGGTAAGTAAAGAAATCGTTTTTCATAGTTAACGTAAACAATGGAATATTTCGATTATTGATCAATTTTTTTTCTATTTTTCTAGCATTTTCATATTTCACACAGAATTTTTACAGTTTTTCAGAGGTGAAACATACAAATCTTATTTTAATGTATCCAATGGTTATCCACGTTATAATATATCCACTTTGTTCTCACGCTTAGGTTTTGGGATACTTCACTGTCTGCTTGTGGATAGTTCCATTCGCTTTTTTTGTATCGCTAAATGCAAACGACAATGTCTTGCCGACTGTGAACGAACGAACTACATTACTGAGTATGTTTTGAATGTTCATTATTTTTATGAAAAAAAAAGAGAATTTAATGCCAATATTTCATTACTTTCAGCTGATACAGACAATGACATTGTAACTAATTACTTTTCGCGTCGTAAGAATATTGGATTACTTTCACTTTTTAACTATGCCAAAGAATCGATTCTACCCCATCGAATCAAGAAATCATTCTGAATAACCCAGATATTTATGAAATACATTTTCGATGAAAAATTAAATTACCTCTTCGAAGAAATAATAAACCATCATATTTACTGATGTGAACAAAACCGAACCGAACATAACTTAATACTATGAACATTGGGAAAATATAAGTCAAGTTCAAGTTATTATTCAAAGTGTTTATTATTCAAAGATTCTTTTTAAACAGTAAACTTTGAATTGCTGTCTCAGCTATCATGAAGGATCGAAATAATAGGAACCACAGTTTGAATGCAAAATTTGTACATTGAAAAAAGGTAATTTCTGTTCAATTGTTTCCACGTTCGATGACGGTGCCATCGCTTTGACCGAAATAGGCTCGTTGTGTCATATTCACAAATAAACCGGTCTCAACAACTCCAGGAATCGAGACGATTTTCGTGTTAACCTTTTCCCAGTCGGTCGTTTTGTCAATATTGAAATTCCAGTCGAGGATGAAGTTACCATTGTCTGTAACACATGGACCCGCTTTGGTAACAGCCATGCGAAGATTCAACTTTCCGCCGAATTCTTTTGCAATTTTCTCTTTGATTGGTACGTATGCCATCGGCACAACTTCGATTGGAATGCCTTTTTTGTATTGTTCGCCCAAATGTGTCGAATTTTTCGTATAATCTGCAATTATTATCAGCTTCTTTGCACAGGAAGCGACGATTTTTTCCTAAAAAGACATTTTTGTTCTTATTTTTTTTACTTCGTTTGATTCTAAAAAATATTATTTGTACCTGAAGTAGGCAACCGCCACCCCCTTTGATTAGAACCATTTTGGAATCCACTTCATCAGCCCCGTCGATTGTGCAATCTAGCTGTGGATTGATTTCCAGCTCTCCCAATTTCAAGCCGTTCTTTATAATGAGTTGACGTGCTTGAAAACTTGTCGGAATGCAAACAACATTCAATTTTTCCATTTCAACGCGTTCCTTCAGACGGTCCACCGCATAAACGATCGTTGAACCGCTGCCAATGCCAAGAACCATATTATTTTCCACAAAATCATCGACTGCTTTATGAGCAGCCATTTTTTTTGCTGCCTCCAAATTCATCTTCGATTCACTTTGAATATAACGGAAAATCGACGAATTTAACTTCAGTAATTTGTTGAGTGGCCTAATCACAGCAGCAACAACAACCGTCATCAAGGTATTTATGAGGAGCGTGACAAGTTAAAAATTCGTAAGTTATTCTAATTTGATTCGTGTATGGTTTGCGCTTTTTTGACGATTCGGCACAATTTACATTAGGTTATGTTTTGAAATCCAAAAAAAGAGTTCATAGTGCAATCGACAATAATGAAGCAGCGGAGTATCAGTTTTCAAATACTATCGCATACACTCTATACCGGATTCGATACAGTAGAAGTAGTGAATGTATTCGAGTGAAACACTCATACGTTTATGTGCGTAAGTCTCAACAGTGTGTCGACGGTGGCTGTGTTGGTATTTTTTTGTTCTGCTTCTTCTTCATATAGTTTCATTTTTTGCTTCGGCTGTCGAGTTGCGTGTAAAGAATGAAGGTTGTCCAAGACATTCGTTTGATTATATCTGCATGTGGCCATGTTATTGCCTGTCATTTATTTAATGACATATTTATTTGATGCGCTTCGTTCTATCACAAAATTGTACACAATTTTTCAAGTATTTTACTCCGTCGAAAAACACTTCAATATTTCTGGTGAAATTTGTTGTCTCAATGAAAATTTACAAGTTTTAAACTACGACAGAATCAACGATTCAAACACGTTAAAAATTAGTGAAATACTGGGGAGAATAGATTTTGTGCAAAGCATTTATGTGCAACAGCCAAAATCATCAGGATTCAGTTTTCTGTGGTATTGAAACACGAAACAAAACGGCTAAGCAATATGAGTGAGTTGCAGCAGTCTGTTTCGAATGAGCAGCTGTTTTACCTCAAATGGAGCAATTTCCAGTGAGTATCACTATAAAGTTAAAACGATGGATTCATTTATTCGACCCGAATAAACAAATGAACCATGATTGTGCAATTAGTAAACAAATCAATGGTGAAGTTTATCTCGAGATTCTATTCTTTATTTTATAGGACAAATGTGAGCTCTGAATTTAAGAAGATCCAAGAAGCTGCTGATTTGGTAATTGTTATAACTTAAAATCATTTAAAATTAGTTTTCTTAAACACTTGAATCATTAATTCATTTTTCAAAAAAGGTGGACATCACCTTTTCATGCGATGGAAAGCAATTTGGTGCTCATAAGCTGGTGTTGTTCGCATGCAGTCCGTATTTTAGAGAAATATTGAAGGTAAGACAATCACTGAAATGAAATGCCGTAGAGATCTTGTTGTTTGTCGATGGAATTGTAAATTGGGATTGTTATCAATCAACAGAAGAATCCGTCTTCACATCCGGTATTTTTCATTAATGGTGTAAAAAGCGAGGTATTGCGTGCAATTTTGGACTTCATGTATATGGGAGAGGTGCATATCAACAATGAGGACTTGATTGATTTTTTTGAAATGGCAGAACAATTTAAAATCCGTGGCGTGACCAAGGAGAACTCGGTAGGAAAATAAAATACAAATAACTATAATGTACAATATTTTAAAAGTTCATTTTATGGATTTCCCACAGGACGCAAGCATATCGAATATACGACGAAATGATGGCGGCCTCGAGAAGCAACGCAAGCACAAAAAGATTCGTTTAGACGATTTGAATGAGGGTACTACAGCCACCGATGCCATATTGATTGAGGCAAAAACTGAAATTGAATTTGGCGATCAATCGTGTCAAGCGAATCAAGCAGCAAGTACTTATGGCAACACAAACGTTGATTATGGAAAGGCACATCAAAGGATGGCATACGATGATCCTGGGCCAAGCAGCGTTCCGCACAATGAACAATGGCTTGACGAGAAACATTTTTTGGCACAACAGGGACCGAACAGTGCAAACTCAAGCACAACGGCAAATTCATCAAGCAACAATGACGACACCGAACAACAACGATGCAAATCATCAAAAAATTATAAAGCACTTGAACCATGCTCCTGCCCTTTGTGTGCTCGCGTTTATTCCAATGTTTCAAATCTAAGACAGCACATGCGGCTCATTCACAATCCAACATCTGTGTGTTGTCCATTGTGTCAAAAGTCATTTACATCCGACTTATACCTCAAGCGTCATTATTTATCCATGCACGGTAGTACAATCCCTGCCCAAACCGAAACAAATATACAACAAAATAATCCAAACTCATCTCAATTGCAAAATACACAACCAACAACCCAACCACAACAGACTCAAAGCCAACCGCAGGTACATTTTTGGATTTTGTATTTATTCTTCGTTCAACTCATTTTTTTCCACATTCAATATTACGATAGCAACCAACACAACAACAGGCACACGCTGTCGTTCCAAAACATGTGAATCCGAGCAATGCAATGCCATTTCATCTTTATGCCAGCACAACGAAACGTGAATATGCAGAATTGCATACCAACACCACCCAGGGAGCTACAAATCCTGTGTCCGTTGATGGAAAACAAACGCAAATGTCACAATGGGGCTACGATGCGAACAAAGTTGAATAAATCCACCAAAAAGCAAAAGCAGTCGATAAGACTTCGACCACCTGTAATAGGGTAAAATGAATCCTGGGCCGACATATATTTAAAATTGAATGAATGCACAGTGATTTGTCGCCAGAATATTTAGATTTAAATAGCTTCTTGTAAAGCCATGTGAAATAATAGAATCGCTGTGCTAATCCGTGGCGAATATTAAATGGAAAATTAGAAAATAATATAGCTTATATATTACGGCATGGTTCCAGATAGAGACAAAGTTTTTTTAGGTCTGTTGGCAATAAGTCAACATCGTGTTTGAACGGAAAATGATTCACCTTAAGCCATTAATAGCAAGAGGATTATAGATAAAATATGAGGCTGTGAGAATGAAAATGGCAATACAGGAATAAACATTCTGAAACGAAACATAAAACAGCAAACACGCAAAAGTGAATCATGAATGTTTGAGCAGCAGCAGTGAACCATGAGTATCGGTACGTGTGCCTAAATTCATGATTTGCTTCAACACAGCGCTCATTCAAGATTCACTTTTGAGAATTTTCTTTCTTAGCGGCTTGATATTCATAACGCACTGGCACCGACTCAATGATGTCAACAATACAAATCAATTGTTCTAATTTGCGTTGGTATTGGTAGTCTCCACTGACACAGTACCAGAGTGCTATGAATATTTGCTGTTGTGCAAACAGCACAGATGCTCCCACTCTCTCTGATGCGTTGTGATTTTGCAATGTTTGTTTGTTGTCGCATTTCTTCTGTGTTATTTTCCATGCGCTACGGTTTCAGTGATGTTGTCATTTCACTCATGTACATTCATTCTAATGCTGTTCGTTCATGTCAATGTCGTATAATAAGCGGAGCTCGTTTACGTGCTAAGACTTATGCATCCCTGTTATTCTTCGTCCAGAGAACTTAATATTTTTAACCATTTATGCAAGCATACTCTATTTTTTTCAAAAACCAATTCGTTCAATTGAAGTATCGGGCGCCGCCAAATGTACAAATGATTAGTTCACCAATTTAGACAAACATTCAACAACCAAAGTCAGATAAACATACTCCTGTTTATTGGTATTCCAAACTAACAAAATACATACTCTTGTTTAACGCAAATCAAGGTCTATGATTTGAAATAATATATTTTGTCTGGATTGAATTAAAACTACGGTGAGTTTGGAAATGAATAACATTTTTTTAAAACTGACTCATGAAACGAAAACATACAAATGCGCAACGTAACAAAAATATTTACTGAAGTGCCGCTAAGAAAGGAAATTCTCAAAAGTGAATCTGGAAGAAGCGCTGTGTTGAAGTAAATCATGAATTTACGCACACGTACCGATACTCATGGTTCACTGCTGCTGCTCAAACATTCATGATTCACTTTTACCTGTTTGCTGTTTAATGTTTCGTTTCAGAATGTTTATTCCTGTATTGCCATTTTCATTCTCACAGCCTCATATGCAAATGCATTTCATTTCAATGTACAAAAGCTTTCGAAGATTTTAGAGGATTAAGTATATTTCCTTCAAACGATTCTGATTAGAATTATCACATCTTCTCCCTTTCGAAAACTTACAATTTACGCAAATAGAATATAACATAAGATATAAGTTTTAGGTGCAATAAAATAAAATATCTATAAATCAAAATGCTGAATTTTCATGTATTTTAAAAGTGATGAAGTATGCTTCAAATGATGATAACAAAATATTAAACGGAGAGTCAAACATCGTAATAAACATTGGCATAGAAAAACAACGTGAACAGTGTTCACGTTGTTTTCACTGAACACAATCGCATTGAGTATGGATAAGAACGCAGTACGCGCAAACTAGCCGACAATGACAAATCACACACACATCGAAATCCCGAAGTAGTAGAAAAACGATACTTATCGTATAGGCAATACACACACACTCACCAATACATAAGCACGCACATGGATTCAGAGCGAATAGCTTCAACTTCACAGCAAATGACCCACTCAGTGTGTAAGAAATGAACATATAAAAAAAGTTCGACTACAATCGAAGCAAAAGCAAAAGTAAAGGCAAAAAGAATTGAATTTAATCAATAAAATAAGTGTGAATGCATAGCAAGAGAAGGAGACAGAGCCGATCCTAGCAAAAGTCAACCGAGTAAAGACAAAAACTTCAAAACATTCAGCGCAAAAGAATCTGACATAAAAAGAACTGAGTCAGTCGCTATTAATCATTTTGGACCCGTGCACATTTGGTGTGTGTGTGCGCTGCATTGAACTAAAGTGTGTTTTTTTCTCATCTATATTGTGATCACAAAAAATAACGCAAAACAAGAAATAATTTATGTCGTATTGCAAGTGTTGACGTCTTTCATTGTCTACATGTAAAACTGAATCCATAGCAGTTGAAAGTTATCACAAAAAACGGGATAGATTTGAAGCAGAACAACGAATTGAAGTTTTGGAAATTATAAATCGTTCTGTGGAGACAACTTAAATAAACGAATACAAGATTTTCCTATCGTTTGGTGGATGTCAAATGGTATGACCCAGTAAATTCGGACCTAATGGACTAAAACCAAGTGTTAGTATATTTGATTAAAAAAAATAGAGGCGCATTTGGTTCTTGTTTTTTTTTCTTCTTCTTCTTCTTTTTCTTTTCCTTTTCTGTTCATTTGTTCTTCAGATTAAATACTCGTGTGTATATGTGTGTGCAGTGTGCACAGGTACAGCAAATTTGTTGTTATTTTGCTATTTATTTTTATTGTCATGTCCAGTGCATGTTAAAGGCTAAAAAGCCACGGATAAAATCAAAATTCCGAGTTTTTTTCACCATGTTGCAAATTGGTTGCAAAGTGGTTGCAAATTGGTGGCAAAACTTCAATTTTGTTTTATAATAGAAATCAAGTATATAGGGATAAAACAGAAAAATGGAATTGTTCATATTGTGAGTTGTATGGTTCGGTTCTTTTGGTTTTGGTTATTCAATTTCGTGCAGTCGTCGTGGCGAAATTGCATTTACCATTTAGAAATATTTATCGCTAAATAATACACGAACATACGCGGAACCGCGTTTGATAGAATATTTGCTCATGTAATTCGTGATCAATTCGTCCATCTATTTTCGCCTTAATTTCATAACATCGAATCGCTTGGGTGGTTCAATTACTTCTTTCTTCTATTGTTTGTTATTTTCTCCACTCTATTGCTTGCAGTATGCGATTTCTTCGGATAGTGTGATATCAACTGTTAACAATCATTGTTAGACAGTTGACCCTATCACCGTTTTCAATTTGTTAGTGATAAATTTGTATTTCGAAATGTACCTATCCAATCAGAAAATCCCTCTGAACATGTAATAGAAGTGCACTTGGATTCTACTGCCATTCGTTAGCTTTATGATGTAGAGATGATTCCGAATATATACCTCCTGTCCCTATTGTTGCAATGTTTTTTTCTGCAGTTTTGTCGCAATAGAATTTTGTTGATTGTTTTGTTTTTCACACATGTGTGATGAGTTTACACTTTATTTCCATTGATAACGTATGTAAAATAAAATGATTTACATACCCAATCCAAACATTTCGGCATACGTTGCATACACGCAAACGACAAAAGCAATAATAAGAGTTATGGCTGAATTCATCTGTTTCGACAATGACACCTCGTTTGCGTTAGAGAAGAGCGCTTATCAGATCGCTATTTACCTATGCATTTAATATTCAAAGAATTACCGTTCATCACTCGAATATCCTGTATAAAATCGTTATTTTTTCGGAACTGTTCACTCCAAAGATTCAGTGATTGGCCGCTTATATATGCAGTCGAAAAGCGACACCCGCTATATACAGACGGAATTCATCCAAAATGTGATGGATTTTGATACAACATATTCCGAGTTTTAAAGTTCGGCGCGCGCTTCCACTTTCTCAGGGCTGAAAATAATGAAATTTGAATACTCTAAATAGAGGGATATTCATTTGTTATCACTTTGCATGTATATGGCGGCTGCTGCTATATACAAACGAATTGTTTTTATATGGAAAATTTTCGACTGTTTATACCGGTGGCCTATTCAGCCAGTACTTGGCGGTGTCAATAAAATAAATAAATAAATTTGCTTCTTATTTCAAGTGTAAAATAGAGAACGAACGACCAATTTTCATTTTTTAATCAACGACCGAAAGTGTTCGATGGCCAATATTATATTAAATTGTATCGTTTCGAAGAGATCACGCAAATTCGCAACGATTAACTCAAATCAGAGAAAGTGTTCTTCAAATGCCATGACGCAGAATTGATAATGATTTTTCCTTTCTTTTTTGTTTATTTCACAGATTGATGAGCGCCAACATAATTGGTTGGTACTAGACCGAATACCAAAATTACGACAAAAATCCAATTCAGAAACCGTTGGTTGAGCACTGAATTTGAAACTTTACAACAACAAGCAGAGCGTGTGGCATTTGCTGCATAATCTATCGAAACCTCCCCCAATTGATAGCAATACACAACAACAACAACAAATAAAACAACAGGTAAATTCAAAATGTCGTCCGGTTCATCGTCAATTCCAAGGATGATAAAGAAGAAACACTTCCGTGTAAAACATCAGAAAGTCAAGCTGTTCCGTGCAAACGAGCCCATTTTGAGTGTTTTTATGTGGGGCATAAATCACACAGTGAGTATTTGATTTCATACTCTGTAATACAATCGATTGACATTTTTAGCATAAAACTCCTATTGGATTAATATCTGATCCATTTGTAGTAGCAACTTTGCAAATCAAACGAACCTAACCGACAAGCATGTCATCTAAACGAGCAAAGACACAAAACATTCATCGTCTATCTATACGTGAGATTAAGTGTAGTTTATGTTTCACTGACTTTGTTATGAAAGAGAAAAGTTTCTTTCGACTTGAACATGGTTGAATGTTCATTTTTGACGGGTTTCGCGGTTTTTCATGGTTTTCGCGAAACTGATAAGAGATCACATCGAGGTTTTGGCAATATGTTAATTCGAAGAAAAGCACCGACAACAAACCAAAAGTTATGCAACTTGGTGATGTGTGCACGGCAAACGAAACTGAACAGGCCAACCTGTTTGCAAATTTCTTCAGTACACAGAGGGAAGAAAGGTTCAGATATTCGCTACGCCCAATTTTTTTTCCTGAAAAAAACCAGAAGATTTCTCAGACAAAAATTTTTTTGCGCCTCCATTTTACCTTTATCATCTAATTGTCTGAGAAATCTGAATTTTGGTTTTTTTTCAGGAAAAAAAATTTGCTTAGCGAATATCTGAACCTTTCTTCCCTGTGTGTAGCAACTACGATGACTCAACGACTCAAAGCGTTCAACAATTGCCTACCGATGAGTCACAGCAAACTGAGGAATTTCAGCTCGACATTAATTTTGTGCTTGAAGAGTTACAAGCCGTGAACACCAAGAAAGGTACGGGTCCCGATAGTAGGCATCCATTGATACTAAAAAATGTGCGAGTCATTTGGCGCCTCCACTCATGGAAATCTTCAACGAATCATTGTCAACTGGCCATTTCTCTGACAAATGGAAGCGCTCGTGTGTGCCTCCCATTCTCAAAAAGGGGACGAGATCGAAGATTGAAAACTATCGTTGCATTACTAAGCTCCAAACAGTGGCGAAGTTCTTTGAGCACTTGGTGAACGTCAAACTTCTGTCACTGGTACAGGACAAAATCACCAAAAAGCAACACGGCTTTATGAAGTCCAGATCTACTGCATGTAACCTCACCGAATTTATCTACTATGCCCAGAGAGGCATAAATTCAGTAAAGCGTTTGACAGAGTGAACCACAAAAGATTGATTCTGAAACTCAGATCGTTCAACCTGCCAGACAATCTTCTTGCTGGGATCGAGTCATACCTGTCAAACAGAACGCAATTCGTTAAGTATGGGAGCAGCGAGTTGAACGAATTCAACGTATCATCTGGCGTACGCCTACTTTACCACAACAATCAGGCATAGCGGAAATAACATAATGTTATATTTTAATTTTTAAATTATTCAATGTGAATGGCGTGAACGACGATGCATGATGCTGGTTAGTTGTTGACAGCAGCTCGCTGGTTGGATGACCTCTGCAATGTTTCGGGTAACGTGTACCGAAACAAGTCACAGTGTCCTTGAAAATCATACAAGAAAACAATGAATGATATGTAAATAAAGCACTGCACCTTACATCACATACAATTCAATCAATATATTATGAGCACTTACCTTTGATCAGGATACATTTTGCAGCGGCTATGTCACGATGCCATTTCGTCTTGTGTACTCGTGGCTCGACAACTTCCATCTCACCGGCTGAATCGAATTTCACGTATTCCAAATTTCCAAGCCCATTTACTTGCCATGTTTTGGCTAGATTGCCACTTTTGGGACTAAATCTGGGTTTAGTTGATCTGGATGTGGGACATCATTGCCAACCGCTGGATTTCCGTTGCCCTCTTCCACTTCTTTCTCAAGCAAAAACAGTTTCAGCTTCTCTTGCCTCATCTTTCGTTTATTGACCTTGCACACGATCATTGATCGCAGCATTGCTTCTACCAATTGCGGCCGACAATCATGGCAGACTTTGAACCGATGTCGTTTCGTGCGTCGATCAAAACGGCCAAAGCACTTGGCGCATGTTTGTGAAGTGTAATACTCGTCGACCATATTAACCACACAACCAGGACACTTTTTGTAGCTTCGTATCATTTTCCGATTTCCGGGCAATCATTGCCCGTGCAACGCAGTGTCTTTTTGATGCCGATGGGTGAACTGGGCGACATTTGAACAGCTCCGAAATGCATGAGTGATGGTTGGTCAACATTTCGGCTATGCTATCGGTCACACTGTTTGCTCGAACGTACTTGTCAGAGTTGAGTCTCGTGTATTTGTCTGTCGTATACACGGCAATGCCACGTTCCGTCATTTTGAGTCGATGCCGAATGTAGTCCTTCCAGTGCCTACCCAATGGCGATGGCATTCCTTGACAAAGTCTTTGGTCCACCGCTTTCCCTGTCGATTTCGAACCGTTTGCTTCGTCCAGTAATGATACTGTTTGCTGCTGATCGTGTAGTTCGTCTAAGAAACGAAACAAAACAGAACAAAGAAAACCGTTTAGATAAAAATGACAATGACAATGACAATGGCATAACTTCGGTTTATCAAATGAACAATGCACGCATATTGTTTACCTCTTTATGCCAGTTTCGATGTTATGTATCGTTGTTGCGTTCCACGTATTCACACCCGGATCAGTACCACCTTCATTGACAAACTTTTTGTAGTTTTGAACAATGGCCTTTTTGTCATCTGGTTTCAATTTCGTTTTGTCAATATCGAATTGTAGCGATACGGCCTGTCCTTTTGAGAGAATTCGGAAACGGAACTTTTTTCTGCTACGACCGAGATGATAGATTTTCCGCATATCGAAGTATTGTTGTATTTTGTTTTCTGAACTCGTCCTCTGTGATGTTAAGTGGTACGATTTCCAGTTGACGCAACAAATACTACAATGTCTCATTGTCCAACGTGAAGTGGGTACGAGTGAATCTGCAAATGGGAATCACTGCCGGATTTATCACTCTCGGCGGACCTTTCTCGATGTACTCATGTTGGCCTCGATCTGTCGGCTGCTGGCAAGTGCACGGACGGTGATTTCGACGTCGGCATCGTTTCAGCTCTTGAAACTCTTCACGTTGGCATCGGCGTACTTCACGATATTCCTCGCAGGTGTTGAATTCATCAATTTTCCGCTGGAGGGAAATCCAGAATGCGATGTTCTTGAACCAGTTCTTCCCATTTGTAAATCGGCCGATGTTGTTGTCTGGTATGTCCCACCAACTGTTGTCCATGACCATTTTCATCAACAACGTACGCCGCTCACGTTTGGCAACATCATCCATGCCATTGATTTCAATATCGTCATTGCCATAAATTGCCAAACTAATCACACGGTCGATGTCGGCCTGTTCGTATCGAACAACCAACGAAGATTCGAACACTTTTACCCGCAGCCATTCGCGCAGGCGTTTCTTGCTATGCGTCTTCAAGTTGTTTTTTACATTCGTTACGTACGGATTTATTATATCGTTCATTCCGTTACCGAAACAGTCTGCGTTGTGCCAAACCACTCGATAGCTATCGTCCAGCTGATGCACCATTTTACGAAATTCCGGCGGCATTTTATCCTTCTTGTAGATATTTTTCTTAAGCACACCAAAAAAACACGACCGAATCACCTTTTAGCCATTCTGTTCAAAAAATGCTTTGTCATTGTCGTCGAATGCGCGCTCACAACGGAACAGGAACAACTGCGAGGCGAGTGCACAAATTTTCGTTGCCATCATTGATCTGTCGGTGATAGCTGCAATCAACAAGTCGCTGTAGTCCGGATGAAGAATGGAACGCAACTCTCAAAATAAACAAATACAACACCAAGCCACAGTAGCGAATGAGTCTGTTGTGTTTTGTTGTGTTGTGTTGCTTTGTGTGAAATGGAAGAGATGTGTCGGTTCTGCTGTTTCTTTCTAATTCACGCGCCCAAAACGGAATCAATACACAAATCGAATTCTTGTAAGATGTTTATTCAGTTCGTTCGCACAGAGTTGTTTGGAATGGTTGTCATTTCAAATGTTTGAATTTGAAAGATGCTGGGTAGCGTTCCGAATATTCATACAGTTGATTAACACTGAAATTTCAGACGATTTTGACGGAAAAAAAGACTAAAAACGTTACATCTTTTAACGTTAAAAATGACCAAATTGCGTTACATAAATGTTTCTTTAATATATCACTTCTTTGATAAATTGAATGACGTCTTTTGCAGTCATCAAGGCCGACACTAATATGTTTAACGCTCCAGTTAAAAATCTTTTGGTAAAGTTGTTAGATTATCTTGAACCGTTGACAATTCGGATTCCAATCGAAAAAGACTACTTTAACTAAGTATTGTATGAAAATACCCTGTATTGTACAAACACGAAAATATCAGGTTTTTCACGACTCTTGGAGTCGTTTTCCTGCAAACCAAAATATTCAGCCAGTTTTTGGTGGTGTGAATAAATAAATAATAAAAATAATAAATTCTATATAAAATATAATTCTATTAAGTTTATAGGTATAATGCAGTATAGTGCAGCGAAATAGAAATAACGATTATATTAATGATTGTGTCCTTTTTCTGCCACGCAGATAAACGAATTAAGTCATGTCAATATACCGGTGATGTTATTGCCCGACGATTTTCGCGCATATTCGAAAATCAAAGTGGACAATCATCTGTTCAACAAGTAAGACAATCATTTTTTTTTCAATAAATTCAACCATCATACTAATTTGTGTAATTTGAACATTTTAATAATGTATTGCCTTGAAACCACAGGGAAAATATGCCATCCCATTTCAAAGTGAAAGAATACTGTCCGTTGGTGTTTCGAAATTTACGTGAACGTTTTGGTGTGGACGATGTCGACTATCGTGAATCATTGACCCGCTCTCAGCCTGTTCAAATTGATTCGTCCGGCAAAAGTGGTGCACAATTCTACAGAAGCTATGACAAATATTTCATTCTGAAAAGTCTTACATCCGAAGAAATTGAGCGCATGCACGCATTTCTAAAACATTATCACCCGGTAAGTGTGGCAATGGCGCCTACATTTTCTTATTGCGATCAGTCATAATAACTTTACCAAAATGCTCAATTTATTCTGACAACCCGAATATATTTATTGCAGTATGTGGTTGAACGACATGGTAGCACCCTATTACCGCAATATCTAGGCATGTACCGATTAACAGTGGATGGGGTTCAGTATTATTTTGTGGTTATGCGCAACGTATTTAGTTCTCATTTAACAATTCATAGGTAAGTGAAATTGTTCAGGGATATATTTTCCTTTTTCATATGGAATTACATTAACTCGGTGAACGAATATTTATTTATTCATTATTTCATGTAGAAAATTTGACCTGAAAGGTAGCACAGTTGATCGTGAAGCGTCCGACAAGGAATTAGAAAAACATTTGCCCACTCTTAAAGATAACGATTTCATCAAGCAAAAAATTCGAATTTGCATTGGCGAAGATGCAAAACAAAAACTGTTTGAAATACTGAATGCAGACATTAACGTAAATAATTTTTGATTTTTTGCTTCATGTTTGATACATTTCGTTATTTTCATTATGTCATCGGGTTATGATGATTGTAGTTCCTAACCAAACTCCATCTAATGGATTACTCGCTATTGGTCGGCATACACGACATGGCCCAGGCTGAAGAAGAAGCACTTTTGAACGAAAATGCAAACAGAGAAGCAGCTGCTGGTCGTGAGACTAGCGAGAGTGAAGAGTGCGAGAGTGGCGAAAGGTATTTTGAAAATTCATTTTGATTCAATTTTATCAAAATCATTGTGGATTCAATTGATTTTCAATTAAATGATAAAAATCAGATGCGCGTATAATACGCCTCCAGACTCACCCAGATGTTTGGGGCAGTATAACGATATCATTCAAGATATTGACATCTATGCACTACACAGTATCGAAGGTAAGCATATAGTTAGTTGGTGGCGAAATGTGTCTGAACGTTCAAAACCTGAGAATTCATCACTTTATAATTCCCATTGTTTTATACCTACAGAGCGGCGTGAAATCTATTTCATTGCAATCATAGATGTTCTCACACAGTATGGAGTGAAGAAACAGGTATATTTTTACAATTGTTAATTAAAATCATGCTCATAAGAATAAATGAATATATTCTATTCATTTTATTAATTCATTCAATTTTTTTTAAAAGGCCGCAAAAGCAGCAAAAACAGTGAAATACGGTAGTAATGTGGACGGAATATCAACATGTGATCCAGATCAATATGGAAAACGCTTCATCGAATTCATAGACAAAGCAATCGAATGAATTACTTCGAGTATTTCATCATTGGATATTTTTGTCTAATTATTAATTATTTTAAGATTTTTTCTTTTTGTGGATGGAAAGAAGACGAAAAAAATAGATGAACGGCGAATATAAAATGAAATGAATTTAAATTATGAACAAAATAAAAAAAGATGAAAACAGCATACATTTGACGAACAATATGGCAATAGATACCGAATCTTTCGAAGGAAAAAAGTATCTCATTACATTGACATTTTTTATCTCTGCTATTACATCGACAGGTATAAAATTTATCGGTACAACATTGTAATACCAATTTAGTTCAGTTTTTGGCCAGAAATCGAGCAATACATTTGGTTTGCATTTCAAATGGACCATATTGAAAAGGTTACTAGGTTAAAGGTGAAGTAATAAGATCACACACCCGAATAATATAATGTTTGTGTCACAATCTTCTCGACAAGCGGTGTTGGACAATGCGTTGCGTTCTCAAAGTAAAAGAAAGAATAAAACATTTATCTTTAATTCATGAAAATCGGCTCTACTGTCCAGTGAATATACATTACGCTGTTGCAAAAAAAAACGACAATATGATAGGGATAGTGAGCAGAACATTTCTTGGCTAGTCATTTCTCTGCTGTTTTTTTTTATTTTAAATATATTGTGTTAATAGATTTATGTTAAGTTTTACATTCGATTCAAACTACTACAATTATACCTTTTGTTCAAATCGATTGTTTTCATTATCTATGGTATATTGTATTGATTCAGTTATTCCCGAAATCCATATTCAAAAGAAGATGCCCTTACTAAAAATGTTTCAATGCAAACAGTCTCTTTTTGTCCTGCGAAATTCCATGAACAAATAGTGAAAATATAGCTTCAAATACTTACTTCTAACGTATGAAATCTGAAACTCCAGAAGGGTCAGACGAATCGAAAGGTCATTTGGATAAAAATGAACAAAACAACAAAAACAAAAACTATTTAATAACTAATTCATTAAACTAATTTACTATGATAAAACCGAATGCTGCGCTCTTTTTTAGAGCAAAATGAACGCAACAAATATCTGGTAATTTTTGTTGTAAAATCCGATACATGTTAAAATAATGTCGCAAGTTATTTCAATCGGAATTCAGTCAGACTGATAAATAAATTAACTGTTCATATATTATTAAAATAAATTTGAAAGAAAAAATTATTAAATAAAATGGTGGCAGTGCTATCTTTACTAAGAATTTGGCTAGTATTGAGCTTTGTTCGTTGTAAATTCATTTTTTTAAAAGAAATGATAAAATCTCAATTGGAAATCATTTTATAAAATATAAAGTATTAAGGGAAGGTGGGGGAATTCGGAACGTGGGGAAATTCGGAACACCACCAAACTTCGCCGCAAATGAATAGTTTGAGACATGCGAACAACTCTCATCGTTTTCTCTAAACAGAACCTCAAATTTCCATTAGCACTCGACGAGTGTGTACGTTCTGTTGGCTCTGTGCGACATCGACATGAAATCAAGTCATGGAAATTTAATATTGAGAATGCCTGTCTGCATTGATTTCACGACATTTTTCGAAGAATCAACTCTGATGAATATGTTTTTAATTATCGTATACCATTAATATTTCGACTCACAAAAGGAATTTTGCATAAAAATTAATTGAGTGACTGAAACACGATTATGTTGTAAGCCTTAGTGAGTGGGGAATTTCGGAACGCCCTATATAGGAAAAATTGATCAAGTGATTTTTAATACTTTTCAAGTTGATATCTCAGTTTTTATGCATATTTATTATATTTCATGCAAAATTTTGACAAATGACTCATTGCAATTTATGCGATCGAGCTGTTCACTTGAAATGCACCAAAATGATTGGTAGCTATTTCACAGGCAACAATTAAAAATCCGACTAACAACAATCGCTATTTTTGAATTTTTTTCCCCATTAAAATTAATTCTTCTGTCTTTTCCTAGTTCTCCATAAACGTTTTGCATCAAAATTGTTTCAGTTTTCTATCCATTTATGAAGTGTTCCGACTTTCCCCACCATTTTTGAAAATCGCAAAATCAAGGGTTTTTTGCCAACAGGGTACATTTTTTCAACCGATTCGAATTTCAACAAGCGGCAAGGTCCAAAAGTTAGGTTTTTACATTTACTAAGTCGTACCACTTTAGAATTTGGAAAAATGTTAATTTTTCAGAATGCTTTTGAATTATTTCGATGTGTGTTCCGAATTTCCCCACCTTCCCCTATTTGTTATTTTTAAATGTAAATTAGGCAAAATAAACAGAATTCAATCAAACCAATGTATAGAAATTGCCAACAGAGGGTGGAAAAACACGAAAGATTATTAATTAAAATAAATTAAACTACCAGAGATAAAATTGATCACCACACTCCTGAAATGCAACTGAAAACATAACGCTGATGATTGGTTAACTCTTTATTTTTTATTCTGTGTGTTTTTAATCTGTTCAATAGACATTATTCCATTTTTTCCACTCGATCATTTTCTTATTCGTTATGAAAACAAAGAACAATAAAATTTCATTTCAAAATTAAACGAAATTCCCTTCTTGAATGACCGTAATTTATTATTATGTAATGATTAATTTAACGAACTATTTTATCTGAGCGATTTAAAGAAAAAAAAAATTAAATAATAATTAACTAAAATAAATCTTTATAATCACAGATCAATTTAATTTGTGATCGAAAATAATGTGTTTTTGTTGTGCCCAAAATTGTTCATCGTGACGTAAACAGGCAAAAGGTTGAAAGAATGAACTTGAAATGACCCATTTCTTCTACATTTGACGATAATCGTTTTGAAAACAAAAATACACGTTTTATTAAATCAAGTCACACATTTCCGTTAAGATTCAGCTAATCAAACAACAATTAAATTTCCAAACCAAAAACAAAATTTGCTTAGATGAGTATGTGCTTTCCTCAAAACGTATTATTGAATAAAAATTAAAGAAAAATATTGTTCATTATTCAATAAAGAGCCCTAGGATATATTCAGATAATCCGCAATATTTGTCACTTCGTTTAATTGGTTTGAATCAATAATTTCACTGCACATGGGACATTGATTGGTTGCATTTAAAATTCTGTTATGGAAAGAGACAGTAAAATCAATTAATCCAATTTTCCTAACAAACATGAAATAAATCTATACTTTGTCATTTGTGATTTGAAGCATAGAAAATCACAGGCAGGACAGGCGACGACATCTTCTTTTACGATATGTTGACCCTGCGAAGTATGGTGGGAAATGTATGAATGCAATCAAAATCAAACTATAAATATTCTTACAGTTGCAATGCACATTGGTAAATTCGTTTTACACTGATGACATGTAAGTTCCATGATCTGTAAACGGCAGTCACAAATTGGACAAGCTTGCACTTCATCTTGATATTCATCTTCAGTTTCCTTTATACCATTGGGAGCTTTTCTTACAATTGCTTCGATTTTCTTTGCGTATTTTTGATCGATTTGGCCACGAAATTCAGATCGCATTAGCATTGAGGCATAGGAAAAGGCCGCTTTCTGGAATCCTACCCGATGACATTCGATTACAGTCGACGTTAATATCGGAACTGTATCTGTTTTTTTAAAATAAATTACCAACATCAATTTTCAAGAGTTTTATATCTATAAGAGACGATGTGAAATTGTGCTTACGCGCGGGAAACCGTGAAATATTTGCAGCAACTTGAATTAACAGTTTAGCAGCTTGATTATGATCCCCAATTTTAACATGAGTTCGAACCAATGTATAACGATGAAGTAGAGCTAAATTCCCCACCATCACAGCACTAATAGATAGGTTATTTTTACGTAATTCCTACAGAATCCCAAAACAATCATTGCAGTTCTATACTATAGAATCTATGGGTGGTTATTTAAATGTAATATACTTACTTGGTACATGGAAAAAAGAAGATCGTGCGCATTTCGATAATTCCCTGCTATTTGTTCTTGATTGCTGATAATGACAGCCGTTTTTGCGGCTTCTTTAAATTGCTTTCGCGCCATGTACAAACCAAATAGGTATTTTGGGTCTTTTGGTGATCCATCACGTTCTCCAAGTAGAAATTCAATCAATTGATTGGCAATTTTGTCGTCGTTTGATGAAGCAGCACAATCAACAGCCAATACAAGAGCTGTGCTCTCGTCCATACTAAATGTTGATGCTTTTAGTAGATGTTTTAGGGCCTATAATTAACAAATGGTATATGGATTCAAAAAAGACAATAAATCCATTAGAAATATCAGTACCTTAGCATATTCTTTAGCAAAGTAGTAGTATTTTCCGGCCAAAAGGGTGTATTTTTCATTTTCAAAATACTCAGCAATACTTAAGAAGTGGCTGGGGCTGGCGGTGTCTGCGTGTTCAAGCAGTTCAGCGTACTGTCTTATTTTGTTGTGCTTTTTTGCCAGTATGAACGCTGGTTGAAGTGAACCGCAAAGAATTAAGAATCGTAAGGCCTGCTCGTGATCTCCAACATTTTGATAGAAATGCGCCAATAGCTTTGACCCTTCGAGTGATCGTGTTTCAACAACAATTTCAGCTGCACTATGCGGATCCGCTAATTTTTCCACATAAATTCGCACCACACTATCCAAATCTCCTGCATTACGATAATATTCAATGGCTTCATTGAAGTTTTCTTCGGCTTCGCATGATCTTGCATAAACGGCATGCATTTTGGAGTTCGTAACATGTGGCAAAATCGAGTGAACTTTTTGCCACGCCTTTAGCTGAACATAAAGCTGACACGCCTGATCCCAATTTTCAGCCAATTCAAACATTCGTGCCGCTTCAACTGTTTCATTCATGATGGTTAGAGCTTCAGCGCAATCTTCGAACAGTTTTTTATCTTTTAACTCCGTCGCAAGACCAATCTGTAGAAGAAGCGTGTGAAAATTACCATTGATGACTCATGTGATTAAAAAAAAGTGAGTTTCCAAACCCCTTTCTTGAAATTGCCCAGTTTAATGTTTGTACGTGCAATACCAAATTCACACATTTGTTTGTGTTCTTCCAAAGCTGTTTCGTTCAATTGTATTCGGTTCAGTGTAATCTTGTCCATACCTTTCTCATAATTTGCCAATGCTTCTACATATCGATTACTGCAAATGAAAAAAGAAATGGCAAAGGTAAGATACTTTTGTATCCAAAGTCACAAACGCTTCCTATGAACCAACGTGAATTCAAGTTGATGGGCATATTCTCTAGCTATAAGTGGAATTTGATCGGGAGCCAATGTGTCAGCAAGTGCAATCGCTTGTTCCCATTGTAGTAGATCACGACATACATCTAGCGCCTCCACGGGATTTATACTTTTTGCAAAGAAGGTTTTGGCTTTATCAGTTTCACCGAGCAACAGAGCACAAAATCCAGACATGAAGTTTATATCTTCAATTGAAGATATATTCTTCAGAGCGTATACAGTAGCCGCATTTCCAATTTGACGAAACACTCTGATTGCTACAAGATTACAATGATTTGATAGTAACATTCAAAAAAGAATTTGGTTTGTGTTTAGCCTTACCAAAATTGATGTCAAGCTCTGCAATTGCAGCCTTTCCAAGCTCAAGCCATACTTCGGGCTTATTCATTGTTTTGCATAAATGCCAGGCATCATCAAATCTTCGCATATCAATGAATGTTTTGAGTTGATCTTTCGTTTCGATCGAAGGCAAATTCAAGTGCGAAGTCAATACAACTGTTGACAGACTACCATCACTCGTTGCTAGGCACAATTCACTATCGTATAGTATTAGTGGCGTTTGATTCGACAACACAGACGTTTCACTAATTTTCATTACGTGTTTATCTAAATTTAAAATCGATATTCAAGTATTTTCTTCCAAATACATAGGATACTTACTACTTATTAAGGGAAGGATACTTACTACTTATTGAGTATTTGGAATAGATGTATGTTGTACACAATTTGCTCTCAAAAACCACAAATGTGCGACTTGGCATCGAGTCCCATAGAATTTTGGTGCAATTTTTTGGAAAATTTGGTATCATAACTGCATCTTCATCCGACTAAAATCGATTTAATTAGTCAATATTCAGCAATGAATCTAAATTGGTTATAATAAATATACTGTTACCGGACAGTAAATGTATCCCTGATTATGATCATCCATAAATGCAATTTTGGTTCCATCAGAGTCAGAATGTATGCTTCGAATACCCACTGTATGACGATATGTAACTACGTTTGTCCAGAATTCCAGCGAAAAGAAAACCAAATGACCGAGCTGTTATAGAAAAAAGGGAAATAATGCCGACCTTTTGAACAATGCAAATATTAATGGTTTGGAGCGAAAATGTAATACAGAAAAGTTGAGCGGAAAAATGTCGATGATGAATGAGCGGAAAAGGGATAGCTATATAGTAAACTGTATAGTAAACTATAGTGAACTATATAGCTATCCCTTTTCATTTGACATTTTTCCGCTCAACTTTTCTGTATTACATTTTCGCTCCAAACCATTCATATATACATATATTATATATACGCACGTCATTGGAGAATATTAAAAATTCGGAGGTCAATAAAATTGAAGTTATCACAGATTCCTGCATGCCATGGGTATTTTCAGGGAACATTCTTGCTTGTTGATCTTTCAGTACGGTGGTAATTGATGAAATCTGTTTTTTTTTGTTAAGCATGAATACAGCAATTACACTTGGTTGTAACAAAAATTAATTTAATGCTCGACTACATTGTGATAGTTTACTCACTGGGTGTAGTGAAACTCTGCCACCAATAAGTGCGGCACAGTATTTGGCATTCAATTTGAGATCGTTGATTTCAGCAATGTATTCTCTATCGCCAAGCGGCATTGGCATATCGTCAGTAGGGTGACTAAGATCATAGAACCAGGCATGATTGTTCATGCCACACGCGAAATGAAATGGACCAACTGCAATGACCGAAGGTTCAATCTCTAGCGGCATAACAACATGCGGAGTTTTGATTTTATCCAATGTGTAATTGTAAATGCTGACCTCAGCTAAGCTACTGAGAATCGCGATGCGTGGGAAGGAAACGGCGCTTAAAATGGACATTTTTGTGACGAAAATATACACAGACCCTTGCGTGGTCGATGTTGCAATTAATTGTCCATCAACGCTCCAATCCATTGCTTTGATGCCAGACTGATCGGGAACGGTGAGAATACTCACAGTCTCTTGTAAGTTACTAATGGCATGAATTTTGATTCTATAAAAAAGAAGAGCATAACGAAATATTTCGTTGAAATTCAGATATTGATTGTAATAAATAATGTCCCATACTTGTCATCACCACACGAAGCAATCTGTTCTAATGCCTTCGAGACGGCAATCGCACTCAAAAAATCGCGGTGGTTTCGAATTTGCCATAATTCTTGTCCAACTTCTTTAGGATGTGTTGATATTGCCACGACATTTCCTTGTGAAAACCCCAATAGAATGTATCCATCGCCAAACCACTTGTGTTGTAATAAATTTCCATATTTATTCTGAAAACCCAGCTCAGCCGGCGAATCTGGTTCAGGCAAATGGTACAAGTAGAGCGTCTTCTTGCCAATTATCATACTGATCTAAATGTTGAGCAAATATAAATTTTACGCTTACCGACAATTTAGTTAAATTAGACATCAAAATCACTTGAATTTACCGTATTTTCACCGGGCACACGTTCGTCTGTTTTTATTTCAGCAAAGCACATATCACTCGGAACGTCTCTCAATTGTATAACTCTCAATGAATCTCCATCTTCCGAGCTCAACGAAAATGTTTTATCCTCCGAGCCTAATGCTAAAATATTATCTTTTGACCATGCACTACATGTTATACGTTTTGAATGCTTTCCCAAGATCGGTGTTCGTCTACAGAAATTTGATAATGTTATAAATTATATAATATTTATTACTCTTTTTTTGCAATAATACAAAAATTGTGTAATTTACTTTGTCGTTTGATGGTTATAAATGGCCAAATTCCCTCGAGTTGAAGCTACAGCTAATATTTGTGTCGATTTCGACCATAAAATACATGACAATGAGTCTCTAAGTCCAGTATCCACAATATGTTTCTGACGCGTATTTATATCCCAAAGGATTATCTACAATCAATTCAAGAAGAAAACCAAAAATCATCAATTTGACACCCAAGAAACATTCATGTAACGCAATTTGGTCATTTTTAACGTTAAAAGATGTAACGTTTTTAGTCTTTTTTTCCGTCAAAATCGTCTCAAATTTCAGTGTTAATCAACTGTATGAATATTGGGAACGAGAAAATGTTAGATTTTAAATTAAAGAGAAAAGAATTCTGTATCAATTAATAGTGTTCACAAAAATAGCATAAAATTCTATGATTTAAATTGTTCATGTTTATGTTCATGTATTGATCCAAAGAGAATGAACTAAATGGTGAGAGTATATTTTCAAATTCATTTCTTCTGATTTTCAACGATTACGTTTTAAATTGTCCAGAGATGGCAGGCAAAACTAATGTCGTGCATATTCCCGCTATTAGTTTTGGTTCATTTTGAAGTTTGTTATTATAAACAAACCGCCGTTCACAATTTCACCATGTCATGAAATATGAAACTTTGCTTCGTTCGACTAAATTCATATTGAACAGCCAGCAAAAGGGAAAAAGGGTAAGTCATTTGAATTGTTATCGATCCATTGGTGTGCTCAATCCATTGATATTACCGCCACATCGAAATTCGCACTCCTTATCAGTTTGTTATCAATGGGAAAAATTTGGTTCCAGACTAATAACATCACCATCTCATTACTCAAATATATTTCATCTGATAACTATACTAATAAGATACCATGCATCTTATTACTCATTCGACCAATAACATTCTAATAACTATACTCACTAGATATATTACTAGTGCAAAAAAGTAATGAGTAATAATATAGGTTCATCTTATTAGAATAATAAGTAATAAAACCACTAATAAGATACCTAAAATGCCAAAGTATAAGAAGGAGTGCGTAAGGAAAAGAGAGAGCGATGGACTCGTGCCTTATGCAGTTCGAAGAGAGTGATCGAAACAACCGAGCGCGATATGACCGAACGCCATCACCAAAAGGAAGCAATTGGCGTGACTACATACGGCATCAATTGACCATCATGAAGAAAGCCATTGCAGTGCACACAACCAAATAGTACACACGTCTAAGTTTTGATCATTACATCGAGTCCAATCGGATCAGTGACAAGGTGGCCGCAATGCTGGTAAGAATTTACGATTGAATTTTTGTTTCTTTTGAAAAAATTGAATGTTTTTGTTGTTACTCAACAGACAAATCGCAAACGATGCATCATTAACATTGGAGCTTCCCAACCACCTGCAAATTCACCGATTAAGTTCAAGAAACATGTTCGATGCCCGGGCGTGCGGAAATTGGTGAAGAGTTTCAAGAAAATGGAAGGCAATGTCATACGATTTGTGAACGAAGCCAGATCATCACGATTGTGTGCCAGATGTTTCGAACCGTTTCCATTGAGTACATTGAACGATCGTGTCAAGGTGTGTGAATGGTGTATGCCCGATCAAGATGATTGGCCGGATGAAATGAAGCTACCAGAGAAAATTGTAGCGCCAAAGAGCAAGCGGAAGTTGCGATCAGAGCGACGAGCGATGCAACAAGCAGCAGTGCAGAATCCAAATCAACCCCGTGGTTTTGTGTTCAAGCTGATTTGCTACCGTAAAAACTGGCAACAAAACGCGGCAAACGGTATGGATGACAATGTTGAAGAGCGCAGTGGTGTAATCATTCACGAAGCTGAACTCGGTATCATCGAGTATACAGATGAATTTGTGCCCGAAGACCCCGTTGACGAGTCTCCAGTACTGAAGACAGTTTGGCAACGTGACATTTCGGCTGCAAAATTGATCTTGTACAGAGGTATGTTATTCATTGAATTGAAATTGATGCAATAGTAATGTGTGTGTGTTTTTTTCTCTTTGTTTCAGGGCATTGCGAACTCTTTGGACATCGGCTGCATGATGCGTTCACACGTCAACACCTCGTGTATCCAACTCGATTCCGAGTCAACTTCAACATTCATTAATATCAATAGAGCCGCAATTTATGTTTTATTTTTCAAAAGAATTTATATAACAGTATGTTATTTGGAGTTGGTTGAGGTTTTAGTCTCCCAGACATCATCGATACCAGATATCGATGGCTATCTATATTCTATAGTCTATATAGATGTAGGTAGAGTACAGGAATTTAAATATTACTGTACCAAACATATGTGCTGGCAATTTATGAACATGTACAAAAAAAGTGATCGAATGAAGATGGAAATGCTGACGAAGAAAGATCAGGGATAAAAAGTGAAAATTGGATGAAGATGGAATTGCTCATGAACCGAGAACAGGCACAACAATGATGAATTCGGCAAACAGAAAATGGAACCTACTTCGTTTAGCTTATCAAATTTGATAAAGATAGGAAACTTTTTGTTTGGATTAAGGACGACAAATACAATTTGATTAAGATGAGTGAAATCTAATTTTTGAAATCAAATCTGATCGAATCATTCCAATTACCTGAGAAGAACTATTCGTAATGATACTTAGTATATCGCCCTCTGGATCCCAAGCCAAACCAGTACACAGTCTGTTAAATGTGGAAAAGTATATTGAATTTATCAATAATCTAAAATGTCAGGTGATGATGCGCAGTAGCTTACGCTTGTAACACAATTCGATCTTGTAGATGCCCTTGACGATTGTAAACTGCAACCGTTCCATCTGAACCGGTAGTGACTAGATGATTGCCTGAACTACCCGTTTGAAATGTAAAATGAACCTTCCCTGGTCCATGTGGAAAATCTAAACGAAATAACATCTATACATATTTTTTATATATATAACATTACAATACAATTTCGGTAAGGATGTGTCTAATAATTAAGGAATAAAGTTTCTTGCCTTTCCGCTCGACATTTTTCAGACTTGTTATGCTCACAACAACTTTGCAAATTGAATGTATTTCAATTAATTGAAATTAATCGAAATGTGTTATCATTTTTCCTCCGCAATGAGAAATACACAAAGGAAAATCGTTTTGACCACAATTTGTTTGTGAATTCATTCAAATATAAGGTATCTATGGTAACGAATGGCTTTGATAGTAGAGACCGCATTCACACGTACACACTAGCAGGTGCAACAACAAACTACTTTGCTTCAGTCAAAACGATCACAGTCCCTATCGAGAAATCTGATAATTTGTTGTGTCAAATTTGTTTTATTTCAATAATTGTGAAATCAGTTACACTAAACAAAGTACAATGCAATTTTAAACTGGGTAAGTTCATTTCAACAGTTATAGTTGAATGTTTACTTTTGCTAGTGCACCAATAATCCATTCCGGTACGTTTTTTTCATGGAAATATTGGGCCATAAACGTTTTGACAAACTCTGGAAAACGGTCTTCAATTATGCTTTCACGTATATCTCGCATCAATCGCAACTGTCGTGGAAAATGAAAATTTGACGTTAGTTTTATTGGATGTTGCATTATTTTACTGTAAATTTCCCCTTTTTAATCAATTTACCTGATATGCAACATTATGAACCGTTACAAGGGTAGCAGCAACTGATTCAAATCGTACGACATGATTTAAATATGATCGTGTGTAACGCTTGCAAGTGCTGCAATCACAGCTCTCGTCAATTGGCCGTAAGTCCTTTTTGAATTGTGGTTGATTCAATTTCAGTTGACCATCACGAACTAAGGCCACCCCAAATCTCTGCTCAGATAAGGAGTAAATCGAATAAAAATCGGTGTGATTTATGAATATTAAATTCATATTTCTTGTTTTTTTTGCTACGCACCGCTGTTCTTGTCGGGAAAACACAGTCAAACATATCAATTCCTAGTGCCACACAAACGACCAAATCAGCAGAGAAACCAACACCCATCAAATATCTAGGCTTTTCATCCGGCAGTAAGTCGGTGCATTTGTTTACAGTTCGACAAAAATCGTCCTTACATTCGCCACCACTCAGACCCCCAACAGCAAAGCCCCTTACTTTTCGTTTCATTAGTTCTTCGGCGCACTTTTCCCGCAACTTTTCATCAAGACCACCCTGAACAATCGGAAAGATACTCTGCTCGTCATCTCGTTGATGTGCTTCAATGCATCTATCCAGCCAACGAACCGTTCTAACATTAAGAAAACACACATTTGATTTAATGATTGATAGATATTATACTAGAAATATTCCATTCGGACCTGTGCGTCGCTTCTTCAACCCTTGGCCCGGTCAATGTTGTCTTCACCACATCGTCCAATTGCATCATGATATCAGCTCCGATAGAATTCTGAATTTCAGTAGAACGTTCGGGAGTCAACATGCACTGTGTCAAATCGTATGGCGATTTAAAATTCACACCATGTTCATCAATTTCAGCTAACTCCAATAGAGAAACCATTTGAAAACCGCCCGAATCCGTTAACAAATTTCGATTCCATCCCATGAAATTGTGCAATCCACCAATTGCATTGAGAATTTCGATTCCCTGCAGGATTTATTTACATTTAGAAAAATGTTAAAACTAAAAAAATAAAATTACCGGCCGTGCGCCCAAGTGATACGTGTTTGCCAAAATGATTCTACAATCTAAATTGTACAGTTGATCAGGCAATATTCCCTTTAAAGTACCCTAAAATGAAAAAGAAACCGTTTAGTTTAATGTGCAAAAACAATAAAGATGCACCTCAAACGAACCTGTGTACCGACTGGCATAAAAACTGGGGTGTCAACATCACCATGTCGCAGAGTCATCACGCCAACTCTTGCTTTGGTCGTACTGCATTTTGATATCACTTTATATTTTAATGGTGGGTCATCCTGAACTGGTATGTTCCCGCTATTTGAATTGTTTGATATAACTTTGGTCGACATTATTTTTATTAAAGCACGTGTTTTTTTTGACATAAGCTTCAATTAATAATTGCTGTTTTATTTTAATAATTGCTGTTGTATGGATTAACTTATTCATTAGAATGGTGTTAGTAACAAAACACAAATCGCAGAAAAATTATATGTTTAATAGAAAATATTTTAATTTTGGCTTATAAACAAACACGAGATTGTATTTGCATATTTTCGCTCAAATTCATATAGGCACGACGTCAATGTACACGGTAAACCGGTTCTAATGTAAATACAGCACAATGACTGCTGACAGAACACATAATACCTCGTTCACAATACGATTATGACAAATTCAAATGGCCAAATCTATGCAAGCAATTCGGTTTTTTTTTCAGTTGAGTCACCTCAATTTTAACAAATCATATGAAATATTATTAATCGTAAAACACTCTCCAAATGCAATGTGATCAATTTGAAGGATTATTCTTTCATTTGTGGAATCATTATTCAGACAACTTTATCAATTTAATGAGAAGATGGGAAAAAAGTTCGAAGTCATCCAACAATTGAATCGAATTAGATTCCAAACTTTTTTCATATTGAAATATCGAAGAAGATTCTTGTTGCCTGTCAATAATACCAGGCACAGTCAATGGTTCAAGATATTCAATAAAACAAGTGTGCTCTGTTTTTGATGTTTCATTTACATCGTTGTTTGACGTGAAACAATAGGAAAAATACAAATTGGCAACGGAGAGGACAGAATGAAGCGAAAGAATGGAAAAATACAACCAATGAAATAAAAAAACCAAAGATACGCACAACGATAATTCGCATTATTTGGATGTGAATAAGTCAACACATCTCGTATATCGTACGCGCACACGCAGAGCGTATGAACCTGAAACCAAAAACAGAAAAAAAGAAGGTGCGCATGAGCTCGCATCGGTTTCGCTCCGCTGTATCGTTTACCTATGTCTTACGTCTGCACAATGTTATGTATTGTTGCTGTTTCTGTTCCACTTCTTTCTACGGCTGTTATTATTTCGCTGCGCATTGAAATGTGATCGGTTTACTCTGTCTGTCCTTCTTGCTGAGTACGCTTGCGGTGAGATCTTTCCGTCCCATTCTTCGCGATCTCTTTATTCCTCAAAAGTTTTCATTTAGTTTCTTTCTTCGTGACTTGGTTGTTTGTTCTGTTTGTCGAATGGGCTAGCGTGCGTCCGTACACAAAAAGTAATTTTCGTCGATTTTTGCGGATAACGCGTACACAAGATATTTAAGTTTTCGTATTGCTTTAGAACGCTTATATTTACCAAACCAGTCATTTGTGTAAAAGACGTTGAATAAAGACAGCCAAATCAATTGTACTCTGGTGCGCATCGCTGTTCTTCTCATTATGCTATTATTATTTGATAGTTACCGCTGTTGCTAATGTTATTGATTCTCTTTTTTTTCTTCACCAGTATTTGCGTTTTTGTTTCTCATTCTTTCTTAATCACACTCTTGACGTGCCGTGTGTGCATTTTCATTCTCAGAGTTTTTTTTCTGATGTGGCTGTGGCAATTTCAACACAGTGGTGGTATTTTTGTATGGATTGTTCGAGTGCTTTAGTTTATCAATCGATTGCATAGTGATCGACGCATATAAACAGACTCATTCAACATTCATGACCGTTTAGCTATAGTGATTTATAGTTGATTTTTTATCGAATTTTCGGAAACAAAAAGATGCTATCGATTTATATATTTTTTCCGCATACCCAAAAATTTCGATTCAATAACGTTGATACCTCAAAAATTTCATTTCAACTGTGAACAGCAGCTACAAAACGATAAGAAGAAAGACTACAAGGAATAATAAGAAAAAGTGAGTAAAAAAACATAGTTTTGGTACAAGTCTTCTGTATCAGCGCCGTCTTAGCCTGGAGGCGAATGAGGCAATCGCCTCAGGGCTTCGCAATTTTAGGGGCTTCGAGCTGCTTAAGGGGCCATTGAAATTTCAAGAAAAACTGCATAGAAAAAAAAAACAAATTGACGAACGAAGTTTGTTTGTTTCCCTTCAAAATTGATTTTAGATGATGTTTTATTTAAATACATTCTCAATCTATGTGTTCTTTTCATTATCAGCCATTCATATTCATTCGTTAAATATGAACGCTCATGACCAGCAATTTTGACCAATATACAAAATATAAATGAATACTCGTGTATAAATATTGTAACTGACCAGTCAGTTAACTGATTTTGGACAAAAATGACTTACTTTGATTGACATTTGAGTACGATGTGTAGTGTAAGTCTATCATCGTTAACTGAAATCATTTGAATTTACAAGTGATTTTCATAGTACAAAACTATAAATTCAATCAACGAAAGTCAACTGAAGTTACAGTCAGTCAGTCAGTCATTTTTTTCACGAATTACATGTATTTGAATCAATCGAAATTGTCACAATATTCAAAATTTTAAAACTTGTGATATCGAGAGAAAAAAAATTGGGCCCCGGAACAATTTTTCCTCAGGGCCCCCGAAAATGCTAAGACGGCACTGTTCTGTATACAGTTTTAATCGGTTTGTTGTAGCTGGTTGTTAATGTATGAAAAATGCAAAAATTAGCAGAACGCTTACTGAGATCAGCAAACTTAATCGGTTTGCCCCATTTTGATTGTACTGCAATGTAGACACGGAAAGACTTACATGGAATGACGTGCCATGTTGATAACAATAATGAAAAGGGGGAGACAGGTTGAGAAAGATCAGTTGAAATGAAAGGAAATTGTATCGACTACATAAATGATCATTTAATATATTTACCGTAATTACGGATTTGGTGATCCGCTTCAGAATAATACCAAACTGAACTTCACTCAGTCGTTAAGAGATAAACACGGTGTGTAGGCATTTTAATTTGTGTGTTATTACTATTGTAAAACCTTTTTCAAGACACAATTTAGAACAAATCCTCAAATGATTGCTTTGAATCTAAAACGCTTCAATCATTTTCAACTAATTAATTTTAATTGGTTATTTCAATTACAGAAATGCTGAAGAGCTCTTCGCAGAAGAGAAATCACGAAGAAGACAACATTTTCAAATCTGAGCCATCATACCTGCCATTGCATCAGGCTACAATTGCTGGTGACGATCGTGCGGTGGAAGTCTTACTCATAAATGGCACCGATCGTTTTGCCAAAGACAATAAAGTAGGAAATTTTGATCACAAAAAAAAGAATACTCAAAATTTTTAAATGGATCTTTTTTAAACATTCATTTTTTAAACGTTCATTTTTTTCGTTAGCATGGAAATACAGCTTTACATGAAGCCGCATGGCGAGGATACAGTCGATGTGTAAAGCTCCTCTGTACACTGCAGCAAACATCACATTCTTCCAACAAGAAATTCGGAAAGAAAGCAAAAAGTGTTAAACATGTGGAAGACGAATGGAAAAACCAAACATATTTAAATACACCGAATGCTGGTGGCTTTTCAAGCCTCCACTTGGCCGCACAAAATGGTCATAATCAAAGCTGCCGCGAAATTCTATTGGCTGGTGCCGATCCTGATGTTAAGAATAATGTAAGCTATAATTATTAAATTATGGTCAGTCTTTTTTTTATCAGCATATATTAGGATATATGCCTAAAACTTCAAAGGCCCCAGGAAGTCGAAAGACGGCACTGAACTTTCAGCCAACCTAGATTAGGATATTTTGATTTTGTGACGCGGTTGACAATTTTTTCCAATGATGTTGAAAAAAAAAATCACAGATGACTTATAAAACGGATGAATCAAGCTAAAAATCAAAGACTGGTTATAATTAGTTTGTGTTTATGATGGAAATCACTTGAAACGATTAAATCAATTAATTCTCGACTCTTGTTGCAGTACGGTGATACTCCATTACATACGTCATGCCGTTACGGCCATGCAGGTGCGACGAGAATTCTCATATCAGCAAAATGTGATCCAGTGTGCGTTAACTTGAATTATGACACTCCATTGCATATTGCATGTGCGATGGGCCGTCGAAAACTTACGCGCATTCTATATGAAGTGTGTGGAACGAGTGCGGTGCTATTAAGGAATGCTCAAGGTGAAACCCCACGCGATATTGCGATCAGAAAGAATTTGAAATCAATAATTGAAATACTAAATTTGCCGCCAACAATGAACAAATTTGTAAATGACGATGTCGATGGAAGATCGATCAAGCGCAATCAGCAACAAAGTAGTCCAGGTAATGGACAGAATAACATGTTAGATAGCAATAAAATAAGACCAACAAAATGTATAAATGATCGATGTCAACATGAATCGAATGCCGACGATTCGAAAGTATGGTCGCCGTATGGATGTCACTATTTCCCAGATCCACGATCATTCCCACAACCAAAACTGGAAACATTTCCAAAGGAACCGCTCAAATGTGGGGAGCAATATTACTTAGACTTGGTGAGTATAAGAAAGAAGCGATTTTTTGTATTTAATTTTTATTTCGTCTTATTATTTACGGTTATCAGGCAGGCAACATTCGCAAGGGGCCAGTAGGTATCGGAAATACATGTTACTGTGGTCCATTCTTCAATCACATCGAACAGCAAATCAATAGAAATAAAAAGAGTTTCAGAAAATATGTACTCAAAGCAACGTGTAAACTAGATGGTAAAGTTCAAGAACTCGCCAAAAATACTGATGATAAAATCCAAAGGATTGCAAGGTAAACAAATCTTGTTTGTTTTTCATTTAAATCGCATTCATCAAACAATAACACCGTGTAACAAATTTCAACTTTTTTTCTGCACATGAGAAACTCCAATTGCTTGTTTTAGAGGACCAAAAACCAAGCACTTTTGCATCA